TCATTTATAAATTTAATCCTATCAAATGATATTCATATTATTAATATTAGTATATCATACATTATCGATCAAAAAATTATTCGACAACCATATCACATTTTCAAAAAGGACTTGTTGTTCAATAAATCATTCTTTTACTAACACATTTCACACTAGCTAATATTTATGATAAAATTAGTATGATGGATTATTTACATTCACAGGTACATTATCAAAAAGCATTTGAGATTTGACAAAGGGTTTTTACCCATGAACATTTCTTGACAAGTTTTGAATTATTCGAGTATTATCCATATGCATAAAAGTAATGGCAAATGCTTTTTAGTAAATATTACGAGGTAGGAGACTGTATGTCTTTTTAACAGCGAACTCTTAATGATAATTACATTATACCAAACTTTTCAAAAGTGTTTGTCGCTACTTTCGTGTGTATGAGCACAAATCTTTTGAAGACTTTTGATAGTTCATTAAGATCAACTTATGAGTAAAATATCAGATCAAAAGGAGGCGAACACCTTGAAATATGCCCTTGTCAGATATTTAACAAATTACTTTAAAGATATATCGAGAGAATAATATTTCTATTGATGTATAACATAAAGAAAAGTTTTTTTTATTCCAAACAATGTCCTCTAATCGGTCGATCGAAATTACTACGTAAAAAGTTTGTTTCTTTTTTATTCATCACGCTCAAGCTGTTTTTTTTGCGCAGGATTATTCAATTAAACCATCTGTTACATTTTTATGTTATATAAAAGAAAAAGTAATTATTACCCATTAACTCTTTCTTATTATTGTTAAAACAGATGTTTCATCACATTAATAAAAAAGTGCAAACTTTTTTTCGGGTTATCAAATGAAAATACTATAAAAGCAGAATTATTTTAACTATTCACTTTATAATTACAAATCAAACATGACTAAAATTTTATCTCTCATTTTAGTAAGTATACACACTTGTTTAAGTTATTATTCTAAAACTATTAATTATATTATTTAGATTTCTACGGCTATTTGTATTTCATTAGCTCATCGAAATCCTAGAAGAGATCCATGGTTTTATGGTCTTATACGACCATTCAGTAATCCAACAAGTATTTGTGCAAATAATGAAACACAAGCAACATATCTTGCTAGAACTAATGCTCTTATCAATAATTTTCAATTAAATTCAGCATATAATTCTGTTGTACAAATCGAATTACCAAAATTTATTGTATATATAAAAGATCCAAGTAATCAAGCATTATTATATACTAATTGCACAGCTTTTATTAATGGTGTGAAAGCAGCAAAATTAGCAGACCAAAGTGATGCACGTACAAGAAAACAAATTGCTCTAGATATATGTCGACAAATTCGACAAGTTTCACGTAATGTAACTGGTAGTAATGGACCCAATGACTTGGATATTCCTGAAGTAGATGAATGTCGTTGATTTTACTTTTCATTTTATTCGTTTTGATGAGAATAAATAAAATAAAAAAACAATTGCTTTTATTTTAAATGAATCTTTTTATCAATCAGAATAGTATTTTATTTTTTGTCATCAAAAAAAATACCAAGAGTACCACGATTAACATAGTAATATTGATATACATCATCACCACTAATCGGACTCCAAGTTTTCAAATCAAAACTTTCAGAACCAGACTCATTACCAGCAATTTTATATATAGTAATAGCTTGTCGATTACGATACCAATCAAGAGAGGAGCCACTAACACACTTTTCTGGTTGATTATTAAGTCCATTTTGACTCAAGAAAAAAACAATACCAGAGCCAAAAACTTTACTTGTACCATCAAATTCTATACATAGAGCTGTCGATTCATCAATACCAATACCACGACCTATGACTCCATAATCTTTGTTCATACGTGCTAGAAATGTAATAAGACGACCACGTCGATCAGGATTATTAAAATGAGTATCAGTAATAACATTTGATAGATAAGGTTGAGAAAGAAAATCATCATACCCTAAAGTAACATATCTATTATAAGGATTGGCAAGAGCTTCGCTAGAAGTTACTGTGCCATTAATTGCTGAAAAATAAGTTCTACCAAGAATAGCACATCCTGCTGATGTACCTCCAATTGGAACTTGTTTCATATTTCGTAAATAATTAAGAGCATCTTCTACTCTAGTATCCTTCCAATAGTTAACATAATTAGCTTGATCACCACCAGCAATAAATACTGCTTCAGCTCTACGAATTGTTGCTTCAACTTGAGGATCATTAGCTAAAGTACGTGAATTGATTAATAGAGTTTCAACTGAATTAACTGAACCTAAATTATATATATAACTATTGTATGCATCAGTACCAGTTGCTCTTATTATTACAAAATCACCACCACCCGATTTTTTGATCATCCATTGCATAGCTGCATCAACATCACGACCACCACCAACAAGAACAGTACCTCCAGATGTTGGTCGAGTTACATCAGCACTATCACCAATAAGACCTAATGAAGCAGGACTTGTTGTTTTACCAACGAACGATAGTGCACTAAATAAAATACCATAGACAATAAATTTGATGCAATCCATGCAAAGATAATTTTATCAATGACAAAAAAAAAAACACGTAGTTTGATTAAAAAAAAAGAAAGAAAGATTAGTAAAAGCGAAAATATGCGATTGATAAGACATCTGATATTATTTTTATTGATTTAGGACTCAATGAAATTGAAGATATACTGTATTCATTGAGAAATGCGTGGGATTATAGAGCTAATATACATTTAAGATATGAAATAGATCAGCATCAAAACAAAAATTAATTTTATTATGTGTCATTCTGTATTTTCAATTACAGATCTGCGAATCATGCTGCCATACTACCTCTTTGTGGAGCCGTGCTAATTTTTTCTACAAAAAGAAAATGAGCGATTTACATTAGATTTTTTGAAGTTTAACGTAGTCTGTATGTATTTTATTTAATGTCATTGAAGTGAAATACTGATTGTGACAGACATCCAGATCGAAGGATGTAAAGTTTGTATACATTTGTAAATGTTGCATTTATTCTAGTTCATATAACTCATCATTATGATTGTATATCTAATTAGTTGCATTTTTTGTTTTCAAAATAAACAAAATTTCGATCGTGCGAAAATTGGTCGCACAGAATTTTGTTTTTTTTTTTGAAAACAAATGATGCATAAAATAAATTGTTCTTTTTAAATTGTAGAGCTTTCCACGCTACATATTGTGGTATATTATGTTTTTTTTTTAATACAATATATTAAGTAAATGACAATTGAAACGCAAAACGCGACCATTCAATTTAACGCACCTGTTAGATCATTGCATCCCTTGAAATATATGTATTTACCACTAGACATGCACTCAAACTTAGTAACATTGCATAGGGCTTTCTTACGAAATGGCGATGGTCAGCTGAGGTTTTAGTTGCTTCATGGATCTCTGTTTTCAATGGTAATATTTTTTTGTACGAATCTGTTTGTAATAAATCGATCATTCATCTAACTGATGATTATAAGTTGTTTTGTTTTCAACCTTTTTCTTAGCATGAACATCATTTCATTCTATTTGATAAAATCATTAATTTATTACACCAATAGGAAGATGTGTTCATATTCAACGACATCAACTCGATAATTTGATATATTTCTAACCAGTCAGATTTATATGAATTTTTACAAGATCTTGTTCGTTTAAAAAAATAAGAATTATCCGTGTTTCATAGTTGTCATCTTAGAAAAAAAGTGAAGTTTTGATCATAGGTTCTTGAGAAAATGAAACATACTTTTTTCTATCCACAATAGGGAAAAATTCATATTGAATAATGAAGAACTTTATTTTACTAATATAGTATTAAACAATTGATTTCAATCATGAAAACAATGAATTCACAGTATCATTAATTAAGATTAATTCTATTTCACAACTTCGATACTTCTTAATCGATGCTATACTTTATTTCTTGTTTTTATTTTAAATATTAAATTAATAATATGAATATAAAGAAAACGTTTCTATTTACTGTACAATTAAATCCTACATTATCAAATAAATGAAGTATTAGAACATTATATACATTACAGGAATCATTACATGCTTGGCATACATCACATTGAAAAGAATAATTTCCTTAAATTCAACCGACAAAAACTTCGATTCTATAAACACAATTGTTATTATCGAATAGGAAATATATTAAATAAAATACAACATTATATGATATACGATAATAAAAACCAATCAGTGAAATTTTGTTTTATTTAAATGATCAATTATCAAAATAATTAGGTTTGTTAATATATTCAAAAAAAAAACTCAGTTAATTAAATTAAAGAATGAATATAAAAATTGAAATATGTAATTCAAATAGATGATAGATATATTACAAAAGAAAACCTTCTGCTGAAAACGCTATTTCAATAGCAACTGAACTGCATCGTATGAAGCATATGCGTCTTACCTTCTTTCGATTTTGGTCAATTGACACTAGTCTAAATTTGAAACGCTCGTATTTTTTAAAATTTAAATGTTTTTTTCGAATGAACATCAGAAAATTGAGATATGGCCAGGCCGAGCGTCAAGAATGTAGCGTGTCAGCCATCCACCATGTCTTCAGATAATATGAACATGATAGACAAAGATTCAAATAAATCGAGTTAGAGAACATTTTGACGTGTAGACCAGACATAACGAAACAAATACTTAGGACATACCAAAAGTTCTGGCCACAGTGTTTAAAGGATCTCTTCAGATAAGGGAACCTATTGAGAAATAAAAAACCAAATATATCATGTTGTAGATATATAATAAATCTTATTTTCATAGGAGTTTGAAGGACCTAGAGTCAATTTACTGATAGGCAACTACACAGGAGGTTGTAGTCCGTCAAAAACTCTACGAAATCGTATGTGAGAAAAAATATTTTATAAATAGTTTTGACTACTACCAAGGACCACAATATTCAGAAACTTATCATGCTTGAATGTGTATATCTAGTTGTCTATCAGTAAATGGACTCTCGTTCCTTTAAAGTCTTATGAAAACAGGATTTACTATATACCATTCGACGTGCCTCAAAAACCTCTGCAACATCGGATATTTGGTTTTTCATTTGCCAATGGGTTCCCTTATTCGAAAAGATCCTTTAAATGCCGTTGCCAGAACTTTTCATATGCTCTCAGTACTAGGTATTTAATCTATCTTTTAACTAGGTATGTTTTATATACGAAAATTTTATAATAATTATCATAGAATGTTTGAAATATTTTGCATTTATGATATTATTAAAGCAGTTTATCTTGATGCTTGAAATACTGCGTGGGAAATCATTTTTAACTCTTCCTACTTATTTTTCCAACATTATGGTTTTAATCTCTTAAAAAAAAACGCATACATAATAAAGTTTTCTACTCATTTTTCAACAAAAACCCACCTTTTGTTTTTTTATTTTACTTTTTCACTTGTATTACAAGTTAAATATTTGTTTTTTTTCTCGTTTTCTTTTAAAATTAAATGAAACGTGATGCGATACAAGAAGCATAGCAACCATAAGAGCTTAATAGAAAGCTTGTAGAGAGGAATCGTACGATAAAAAACATCTCATTCTCTCAGCGTCGCCACATATGAAAAGAAAAAGAGTAAACGTAGATTGCATCTCGCATTGAATGAGAAACACAATGGGTTTATTTTTGTCTTAAGTTTAGGTATAGCATAAATGTAAAAAGTCAGATAATATTAAAACTATTACAATTTTCGACAAGCATTGGCTGGTTACTTCTAGAGGCTAGTGTACACTGTGACTGTTCGAAGCGTATTCGTGATTAATTGTGTATAACTTTTTTGTTTTGTTCGTGAAAACTAAAGAAATTTTCATGTTCAATTCAGAATAAAATAAACTGCATTATAGATGTTGAGAATAGTTTACAAATAAAATTTTTTCCATTTAGAAATTACCAACTATGTGTTGCATGTTCTCTTTTTATAAAAGAGAAAAAGAACGAGCTTCGTCATGTTTATCTCCCTTGTATTCGACGAGAAGGAAAGAAAAAGTGAAAAAAAAAATATGATAAACATTTTCTCGTTGTGGGTTTTTTTTGTAACATTCTCTTTTTTTTTTACCGTCACTTTTTGACGAGTTGAATCGTTTGCAACACGATTTACTTTATGCACGAGTAAAAGTCAGCTGTTTTTCGTTGCTTTTTTTTTATGTTTGATTAATTGATGAAATATTTAAATTAACAGTTGATTACGAGAACGGATGTAAATTTAACATATTTTTTGTAGTTTCATTCTAGATTTTTGGTATAATTCAATAGCAATCGATTGAATGGGCCTTATAAAGAAGCTCTATGAAAAATACATTGGCCGGGAAAAGTTGAGCGAACCATGTATTCTAGCTGGTCATGTTTTCGATCAAGATAGTGAAGGCGAAGTTTTCTTTGACTCTGTTTTGGCACGTTTTGAAAATTTTGATCAAACAAATCAAATTCAAGGAAATAAAGCATTTTCCAATGATGTTGATTTCATTATTCAATGTACAATTGAAAGTCTCTCGTCACCCGAAGTTTTTAAAAAGTTTCCAAGTCGTATCGATTCATATTTATATATCTATCGTCGAATCGAAGAATATTTAATAATGATAAAACGATCAGCTTATTTAACGTGGACAATTGAAAGCAGTGTTAGACAATTAAAAGATAAATTATTCGAAATATTGTCTCAAGTATTTATAATGAATAAAGGTTTACAACCAAATCTTTGTATAAAAGATAAAGATCAATTGAGAAAAATAAATATGATTCAACATTTAATGTCAATAACGAAAATTGATAAACAAACAATAAATATATTCTTTGTCTTGAGTAAATTATCATTTCAATCATCAATTTTAATAAATGATTATGATTATCTACAATGGAAAATTATTATATTAAATATACAAAATTTTGGAATTAGTTTACAAGAATTTATTTCTAATTATATTGATTATGAATTAGCATTTCGAACATTTCCATTTGATATATCAGGATTTATCGAACTTATTTCTAAAAATCATCCATCGAAACATTCTCCAGAATCACCATTTAGAATTTTCTTAAATCTTTGCAATACTTTACATTTAAAAACAGAAGATTTTTTCGATCATTATCGAATATTATTCGAAAATGGTATTAAACAGAAATTTTATAAATTTGAACACATTGGTGATTTATTTAGTCTAATCGGTCGTCATGATCGTATCTTTGATGCTTATCTTACAACTTATGCCACAATTGTAGATCTCGATGATTTATGGACTATGTTTATTTATATATGTACAAATAGTGAATTGAATGATATTATTCAAAAACATCTTATTTCTAAATTTACTAATCGTACAATGAATACATCAATCGGTAATTTTCTGCGTTATACAAGATTGGCTAAACAATGCATGACAAAAATAAAAAATGAATATCATCCACGGTTTCTAAGAATATATGAAAAAATATTCGATGCATTTATTAATAAACAATTAACTGAAGAACGATATTCTCATCAATTTTCCGAGTCAGATTTAAAACAATTCTTAAGTATTGGTCTTGAAATGTCATTAACACATAATCTACAACAATCATCTTGTTTACTCATTATTCGACGTCTAATATTTCAAAATAATACTCGATTAATTAATATAGCTGATAAAATCAAAAGTTTGTTTAAAAAATTAAATGATTTTGATCAAGATTTATGTGAAAATAATGATCCCATGTTCATCATTCAAGATGAATGGTTACAAGATTATCTTCTAGTTATTCCTGAAGATTTTTTACGATATTTCAATGAAAATATCTACCATTATCTATGTAATAATCATCAAAATAATCGATGGACAATTTACATATGGAGACGATTGATACATTTGAGTATTCTTAAATTAAAAGCTGAGAATACGAATGATATGCTTTTTAAATTGAACGAATGGATGAAGATAGTCGGACATAATGTTTATAATATCAACGATACTTTAACAATCATATTGATTATTAATCTATTTGAACTTATTATTGTCAAATATACAAAATCTGTTTTGTCACTTCCAAATATCAATATTATTATTAATTTTATTTTACATACTCGACAAGAACAATTATATCAAATGGATATAAAACAAGTCGATGAATTTATTCAAAATGCGGAAATATCAATTCAACAGATCTTACTATTGCAAGGCAAGTTCTATTTGAATTTAGACATTTTTCACTTTTCATAATTATATATCAAACGTGAAAGTTGGATTTAACTTTCAAGTTTGACACTACTGTCACTTTTTCGAAATAGATCGAACTTATATCTGGAGAATTTATGACGCAAATGAATTACAAAACAATTCAAAATTTCTATATGTATAGTGGAGACTAATTTTAAGAGTCTACCAGAAACTCCCTTGAAAATTTATTTCCATGCGTTTTTGATTATGTTGAAACTTATGAGGTTATAAAATTACTCTTTTAGATTTAGTATGACCTACAGTAACTGCAACATAGATCGGACTAGATCTAGAAAAAATAATCTGTTGATAGGCTTGACATGGATCATTTCCATTTCTGAAGAATTGATTTAACATTGTGAAAGATATTTTATCTAAAGCCTTGAGAATTATGTTCTTTTGCAATATATCATTTTATGAAATAATTTTATTTGTTTGATTCTATAATAGGAACTTGTTCAAAGTATCGTGATCTATTAAATCCATCAATCGTGTATTGTTTTATTCATTCTATGGATTTTAGAAAGATAATTACATCCGTAAATCCACAACAATACAAATTTCCTTCTACTACACAAAAGATTGAATACATTGTATCACCAACACCAACGGATATAAATATTACAGAGATTAACACGACAGAACAATATTTTCAGCAATTTATCGAACAAGTAAATGCATGGCTTCGATGGTTTGATAAATTTCTTTTAATATTTTTACATGTTATCGAATGGTTAAAAAATTGGAATGTCGATGGAACTGTTCAATTATTTAACGATATGCGTACAGCAAAAAATAATTCATCAATTAGTATAATTCAAATGAAAACAATAGTTGAAAGAACATTAAAACTTCTTCGACCATTTAATGATCTTCGACGACTTTGTTATCTAATTAATTGCTTAACATCATTTCAATTAATTGATTCTGGTACACAGAATAATCAAATTATTTCAGAAAATTATATTCGTGAATTAAAACGATTTCAACCTAATAATTCATTTACGGTAGATGCAAAACTTATTTTCGAATATATAGTTCCTATAAATGATCGTCAAAATGTTCAATGGTGTATTGCTAGTGAAAAACATCCATGTAATATTCAAATTAAATTTCAAACAACTGACTTAAATTATGATTCTCAAATGTTATTTTTCAAGGAAAAAATTTCTATCGATAAACATATTCTACAAGGAGAATTTGAAACGCAAAGTGCTGGTCAATTAATGATTATCATCAATAATCAACAATTGCATGCTTCACGTACTATATGGTATCGAATAATGCAAACACCATTATCAACTTCTCATCTATTTCATGGTATATTTAATATGTTCTATCAACAATATTATAGACAATCGATAGGAACAATTAAAGAAGGTGAATTAAGTCAAGTACTCGATAAAGTATTTACATTTATTGATAATCTTTTGAATGGTACTGTAAGTTTAAAAGACATGGCTGATCTTAAAGCAGTTTTCTGTGATAAAAATATTCATGTTAGAGAAGAAGTAAAAAAACTTTTTACTAATCGTTCTTTTGAAGAAGGAACAATGAAAAAACGATCATCAATTGTTACTACAACAGCAAATAGTCCTAGTGAGAAAGAAATCGAACAAGTTTGTGAATGGCTTCAAATCTATCAATATTATAGTCATATCAATATAATTATTAATTGTATTGAAACATTTGATATATTACCAGTTGATAGTAATGATGATGATCAATTAATTGGTCATCTCAAACGTTTATGTGATGAAAATTGTTCACTACGAGAAATTACACAAACATACGAAATTGTAAAACGACAATTTAAAAATTTATCAAGTCAACATTTACAATTAATTAAAACAGCACTTGAATGTTCAACTGTTGTTCAAATGATGAAAAAATCTGATTTATATTCACCACATGGACGTCGTCGATTTCAAGAATTACGAGATAATTTAACAACACAATTTCAACTTCAAGAACGTAATAATATGATTCTTAATTCATGGATTATTGCCTATGCATTATGCGAACCATTTGTTCTCAAAGCAAACAATTTTGATGAATTTGTTAATCGTATTGCTGGATTATCAAATTTTGAAGAAAATTCTCTAAATCATATGCAAAGTAAGATAATTACACATTAAATCAAATCAATAAAGTATTGAGATGATTTTCAAGCTAAAACAACCTGATCCCTCCTTAAAATATTTCCAGATTGATCAAAACGGGTATTGTTTACAGATCGGGTGTGGGTATTCTTTGTATCGACACCTACACTCAGTAAACTAACCATATTTTCTCGTAATCCCAGACACCACAATACAGCATCTCATTTTCGTCATATGCAGTAGTATATGTGCTGTAATCTCACTATGACGCGGCCGTACTTCTCCATCAAGTATTATGATGGTATGCAGTTCGTTTAAATATCGTATTTCCATCGTAAATGGCCGTAATTTTTAATCTAAGATATGCGTTCCATATACGACCATATTTCCCCGCACTAGATGATCCAGTATTATGATTGTATATCGTTGTAGCGGTATACGAAAATATACGATCGTGATACTGAACCATGTAAATCGCCTTATTTCCCTATATACAGTCGTTTACCATCGTGCTTGTTTGATATGAGAAATAAATAATTTATACTTGCCATTGATTGACTTGATACCATAATGTAATCTAAAATTTAAAAAAATAAATAAATAGTTTATATTGACTGTACATTGCATTGATGCAATCAAATGATCTAAAATAAATGTATTATTACCTTCCTTAACTTCTTTAATTATGCACACCCGCTTTCGCAACAGTTTAACAAAATTGAACATACGTCAAACGTATACCATAGCACACGGTAATATAGGATAGCATATAGCAGTTGTATAGCTCTATACCAGACTTGAAACCGGTCTGATCAAAAGTTTTGAAAAATCTTCTTTGTTAACCCTGTTTTGGACCATAAAAACTAAGGTATCACATGGTTTTATGTCAGCATGCGTACAAAAAAAAATACTCAAAACATATGTTATTTTAATCATTTGTTCTGAAGTTCTCTTTGAAAATATTCATTATGATGCGTGTCTTTTACACGCACTCCTAAACTATTTTATACATGGAGCAATATTTTCTAAAAATCGTTTTTCAAACAAATTCGTCAGTTTTCACCGTTTGGACATGTGATTCTAACCGACCGGTTTCAGCCCTGCTCAATATACGAAAGAAAAAAATCTATGCTTAACTCTCCGTATACGTATTTTGGCGTAAACACGGTCATTGACAATCATGTTTGTTCGCTCTGGATTACTCTCGTTGAACTTAGATATGAATAGAATTCAGTCATGTTATGTCACTACTTTATTTTGAAAAGATAGAATAACTGCGTGCTCACCTCTCTCAAAAAAAAGCTAGGAAGTACGTATATATAGTGGAAGAAAAATTGGACTAGTCAGGAAAGAAGTCGACAGGCTTCTTTGTCTGATTGAAAAATGAACAATAGGAAGAGTTACAAAAAAAAGATGTCAGTAAAGAAGGATAGGTCAGACGGGTAGGAACGTATATGTAACAGTAAACAAAGGAAAAATGATAAAAGAAGCTCAGAATAACATAGATCACAGGTACCGAAGAGAGAAGAGAATATCATACACTAAACGAGTGATCGACCGTGTGATATATGGTAAGCCAAATGGCCAATACATAACAAGTCATCACATTTCTATTATGTATAGTACTCTATCTCATACATTGAACTGTTGAATTTTAACAAACTAAACTATTCTTAATATTCTTAGTGTAGTTTCTTTTTTTACAATGCATATTGGTACTTCAAAAAGGATCTCATTATACATATTTGATAATGTTTGTCACAGATATTTTGTTATAATGTGTAATCATTGAAAGTATACAATTAGGGAAATTCATAATCCATTATAAAAAAAAATAGCAACGAAAGTAATTTAATACGAAAACATATCGAGCTCGAAGGTGGAAATATAGCGCTATTTTTTCTTCATAAAATTCAAGTATTTCTATTTTTATTTTATTATAGTTGTCAATGAAAATGTACAAATTGTAAATATGTGGCTATCGGCAGAAGAAACATCAGTACTAGATAATGCTCTTATAACAATGGAACATTTATATCGAACTGGTAAAGTAAAAATACGTCTTAGACATTTGATGAATGAACAATCTTATTTTGAAATGACATATTCGATTGATAAAATAAAAAGTGAACCATTGCAAAGAGCTGATTCAGAACAGGATGACTATGAACAATACAATGAAGAAGAAGAAGAACATGAACAATATCAATCTGAAAAACTTAAGTTTACATTGTCAATGGCTGATATCGACGATCACAAACGTCAATTAACATTCTGTAATGTTGATCTACAAGAAAATATGTTTTATAGGAAAATATTATTGAATGAACAATTAAAACTATTAAAAATTGTTGAAAATATATATATTATACTTGTTAAATTAGAAATGAGTGGTCATCCAGATTATCAACTTAGAGAAGAAGATTATGAAATACATGATCGAACAGGTAATAATTTAAAAGAATAATTATTTAATTTTATTTATTATTTGATAATAGGTGAAATCGATGCTATACTCATGGATCTCAGAAAAGATAATCGTATTAGAGAAGATCGATTAAAACGTGTCATCAAGACTCGTACAGAAAATTTAGAATTGATCTATCGTGCATTAGAAACTGCTTATAAAATGTGGATAAAAAATTTAGAACGATATAGACAAGATAGTCGTTTATTAAATTTATTCTCCAATCGTCAAATAATGATTCTTATTATTTTATTAACAACATCAACAACACAAAATCAAATCAAATGTCATTTTCTTGAAAAATTCTCATTATCAAAAGATGTTATCAATCATAAAGAAAAAGAATTAAAATTAACTATTCAATGTTTGATACATTATTTACGTTCACTTAAAATGCATGATTGTGATTTATCTGAAAACAATATATCATATCTCTATGAAACATATAAAATTACACCTAATTCTAATGTTGAAACAAGTCTTGAGAAATTGTCAAAATTTCTACAAGAATTATTTAATAATGGAAGAGAATTATTGAAAAAAAATCCATCAATCAATGAAAATCAACAATATCTTGTTACACCAAACATGATGAGACACAATACATCGGAAAAAATATCACTCGAACACGATCTTGATATGGAAACTTGTTGTATTTTATTAAATCTATTCAATGATCGACTACCATCTGTTTATCAAATATTATGGTGTTCGATTGCTAGTGAAGAAGATATTCGTTTGTTCTTTGCACGAGTACGAACATTTTATTATTTAATATTTGTTATTATGGATATTGATAAAATGCATCATCGTCTTCGAGAATTCTTATTAAATGAACAAGATGAATTAACACGACAAGAACAACCTCATGGACCTGTCTATTATTTTTCACGAGAATTAACAACAAGTCGAAAAGGTTTAAGACCATTTCATATAACACCTAAATATCGAAATTCTAGTCAAACTTATACACAATTAATTCGATTATTTCAACAAAATGATTGGACACAACCACAGATTCAAATTATTTATGGAAATGCGGGAATTGGTGAGTTTATTTCATTTAAGGTGCCGGAAATTCAAAATCATAGTAAAATTTTTTTTTTGTCTATTTTTGTACTTGGTTAGATAGAGGGCACGAAAGTGATTATAAAAAAGTAGTTTTCAAATTTTCAAAAAATATTTTTGCCAAAAAAAAATTCAAAATGGTGCAGAACCACATTTTTGGGCAAAATGGGTCAATTTTTTAAAATGATGCCATATTTTTGTTTTTCATTCTTTTTGCTTCTCCAAACCAATATTTTCTTGTTCCTTGTATGAAACTGACTATAGAGAACTATATTAATATAGTTCTCTATAGTCAGTTTCATACAAGGAACAAGAAAATATTGGTTTGGAGAAGCAAAAAGAATGAAAAACAAAAATATGGCATCATTTTAAAAATTGACCCATTTTGCCCAAAAATGTGGTTCTGCACCATTTTGAATTTTTGTTTTGGCAAAAATATTTTTTGAAAATTTGAAAACTACTTTTTTATAATCACTTTCGTGCCCTCTATCTAACCAAGTACGAAAAAAGACAAAAAAAAATTTTACTATGATTTTGAATTTCCGGCACCTTACTTATCTTTTATGTAAATGTTTAATTTTTTTGTTTTCTTTATTAGGAAAAACTCATTATATCAATACAAAATATAAAAATGAAGATACATTTTGTTTTAGTATAAATGATACATTAAATTTATCATCATTGATAAGTTCATTTCTATCATTTGATTCAAGAATAACAAATGATAATCCATCAGTTTCTTTTAATATATCAATTCATGCACCATTCGAAGAATTAAATCGTACTTTTTTATCACTTTTCATTTGTGGATCATTAACTGATACAAATACTGGTCTAACATTTTCTTTACCAGAAAATCAACAATGGAAATTTTTTATTGAAATTCCTCATACAGATAAATATCATATGACAATTACAGAAAATTTTCATCGAATTTTACCTATATTATCAATTATATCACCATATACATTAGAAGAAATTACTGATGAAAATTATCAATTATTTATTGGACAAGAAGAAGAACTTGTTGCTCGATTTTTAAAAGCTTATGAAAATGGAACAATCAATCGTTTTCTAACAATAACTAATACAGGTATAGAACAACCAGTAGATTTCGAAGAATTAACAAATTCAAATGAATGTCGTCATGAAATATATAATTGTATAAAAAAATATGCACCTGAAATACCACGAAATAAAATTTCTGAACTTTCATTTACGAAATTTTTATATCGTCGTATTCGATTTTTTACTGGTCATTATTATCGTTTTAATATGACTTGTGAATATCTTGGTTCATCAGTTATGAAACAAATGATTAATGAAGCTAAATCTCTTGCACATATTGATTTTCGACATAGTAATTATCCTCGAAATTATCTTGTCTATGATCCTAATTTTTCTTTACATTTATTACATAATAATTGGAATAATGTTTCAATAGATTTAAAACGTCTCTTCAATAATAAAAATCCTTCACTTGGCAAAGATTTTAAAAATAAAGATTATTTTGCTAAATGTTTATCATGGCTTATCGATATAAAATATCATGATTTTGAAAAAATAATGAATGAAACAAAATTTATTTTAACAGAAAATTTTGCTTATAAACTATTTCATGTTCATGAACGTAAATTAACTCGACTATCATTAATTATTGAAGGTGATACTGGTGTTGGAAAAACATTTCTTCTTAAATTCTATTCATTATTATTAAATTCAAATATAATCAATGCTCCGATTTATGATAATGTTGCTCCACGAATTTTAGAACGTACGAGTCTATGGTTATTGACAACTATCATTGGTGATATTTTAGAGAATGAACCAAATTTATTGAATAGATTTCTACAACGAATAAAACCAAAATTATTGGGACTCAATGATGATCAAGAAGATGAAACAGAAGTAGCAAACATCTATCATCCTTATGTACAACCATCTGATGATGATGAGGATGAGGATGAGGATGAGGATGAGAATGACCCGAGTTTAATCGATGAAAGAGTCATGTATCGTGAATCAAAACCACTTGTTCCACCTCCACTAGAACAACCAGTAGCAGAATTAGTTGATATTCCATTATTAAAAAACTTGAAAAGTTCATTAGGAAATTTCGAATATAACAATGATATTTTACGTTATATTTGGAAAACGATTATGATTGTCTCAAGTGAAAATGCAATGAATATCACTCAAAAACTTATCATTGCATTGCATGAATATGTTACAAATCAACTAGTCAATTATCCATTGATTGAAGCCAGTTTTCAACTTCAAACATTACTTAATGATTCACGTTCTCCAACTGTACAAAAATCAATTGAAATTTTCAATGAATATTTAATTCATACACAAATTAAACCATTATTTTATCGTCTATTATTACATCCAGGTATAACGGAAGAACAACTTAAACATTTTATGTTACCTATTTGTCAATTAGCTCGAGAATTACCTCATATTGAATTAGTTATTTTCTTTGATGAAGTTAATACTTCATCATGTCTTGGATTATTTAAAGAAATGTTCATGGATCGAACATTACATGGAAATAATCTACCGAAAAATCTATTCTTTACTGCTGCTATCAATCCATCTATTAAACCAAGTGATGATAATCTTGTTCATCGACAAGATTATCTCGTACATCAATTACCACAAGCATTAGAAAATTTAAAAGTTTCCTATGGAACATTAGAAACAACATCATTAAAAGATTATATTATTAAGAAAATTGCTATGTTTCGTGTTAATTCAGAAAATAATCATCAAATGGTAATACCATTGGAAGAATATGCACAAGAAATGCTTGCCGATTCTATTCTTAATGCACAAGATTTTTGTGAACGATATCTTGGTAAATCTTATTTTGAAAATATATTTCTAAGAATATATTGATTTTCTTTTTTGTTAGGACGAAATTCAGTTTCACAACGAGAAATTCAACGATGTTTTAATTTAATTGAATTCTTTTGGAAAATACGATTTGATGATGAAATTGAATGTAGCAATGATTTATATCAACCGAATCCTATTCGATGTATTGCATTAGCATTAGCTTTGATTTATTATTTTCGACTTCCAACCGAAGAAGATAATGCACAACGAAATGATAAACACACACCAACACGCGAACAACTTGCCAGACTACTTTCTCGAACAATACCAAATTTTGTTGATATTATTCAAGGTGAATTGGACAAATTTGTAAATACTGACAATTTTGTTATTCCACATGCTGTTGCCATCAATCAAGCTGTAAGTCTTATATTCATCATTATTTTTATATTATTGTCAATTTTGTTCGTTTTCAAGGTTCGTGAACATATATTTGCTATTATCGTTAGTGTCGTCACTCGAACACCTTTGTGTATAATCGGAGCACCAGGTTAGTAGAATTTTTTAAAATGTTAACTGCCCATTTTTTTATCATGAAACGTATATTTCATTAAAGGTCAATCGAAAACATTATCATTTCAAATTGTTTTACAAAATCTACAAGGTTCACAACTATCGATAAAACCATTTTGTAAACGTTTACCAGCTATTGATCCTTTCTTCTGTCTTGGATCAAAATATAGTCGTTCGGAAGATATAGCCTATATATTTGAACGAGCTCTTAAACGTGAACAACAATATGAACAAAATCGTATGAATACACGATGTGTAAGTAGTTTGAATTTTTAATTGTTGATTGAATAAATTTTTTTAAATTGTTTTTTTTTGTATAGGTTGTTTTCTTAGATGAAGCTTCATTACCTGATGAAAAGAAAATGGTTTTAAAAGTTTTACATCCTTATTTAGATGAATGTAAAGTTGCATTTGTAGCCATTGCAAATAAATCATTTGATGCTGCTAATGCAAATCGAATGATTTGTGTTTATCGTTCATTACCATCCGACGAAGATCAAAAGATATTGGCTTATGGTTGTCTTGGTCTACAAATCAAAGATAATCAACAACAAGCAGTAGACAATCGTCTTCAAGCAATTATTTATGGTCTTTGTCAAGGTTATCGTCGTTTATTAAATACATCGAATATTCCTCATATTTATCATGATCGTGATTTTATTTATATGTTACGAGAATTACGTTTCGAATTGACAACAACAACAACAACAACAACAACAGATGATCAAGAACCAAGTATAACTGGAATTACACCATTAAGTCTTTTACGAGCACTTGAAGATAATTTCAATGGAGTAAATAAAGATGAATTTGAGAAATTAGTTCAAATATTTTTTCAAGCTGTTCAAGAACAATGTTCTGATTTTCGAATACCATCAATTCGTCGTAATATACCAACTATTCTACATGAATCAATGAAACTTGATTCAATACGACGTCGTCTTTATGGTCGTTATAAATTAATTATTGATGAATCAGAAGATGAAAGTGCTGTTGGTTTATTATCACAAAATGATATAATTAATATGGATCCAAATCGAACAACTGTTTTTCGTATGTCAGATTTTCCTGATGATATTCATAATGAATTACGAAATGTTGAAATATTATCAACAATAAAATTATGTATGGAAACAGGAAAAACAATATTAATGGTTAATACAGGACGAATACATGGTTCACTTTATGATGTTTTTAATCAAAATTTTTCTATAATGGCAACTGGTGATATGAGAAAAATTTTTTCAAAAGTTGCTATTGGTCCTAAAACAATTGATGTTGTTGTTCATGAAGATTTTCAATGTATTGTACATATTAAACGAAGTGAATTTAAAGATATACCAGCACCATTTCTTAGTCGTTTTCAAAAATATTCATTAAGTGTTTATGATTTTTATCGTATACAATATGAACAACTTTCTTTAAATGAACAAATAATTATGAAAAATATTGAAGATAAATTACAAACATTTATTCAACATTTTGGACGACAATATTTTTATGGTTTAAATGATAATACATTATATTCATGTTTATTATCACTTATTAAAAAAAATGAAAATGAACAAAATTATTTTATTAATATTCAACAATATTATACACAATTAAATATTAAAACAAAATCATTTATTGAACAATATTCAAGTAATATACAATTATGTATTTTACGTTTAGTTATATCAAAATTAATTCAACTTGTTTCACCTGAATCAATTATTCTTAAATTACCAACATTTGAAGATAAAATTGCACGTTGGTTATGTACAAATTATTTTCATCAACAAGAACATTTTCATATTGAAAATTTTATTCAAATATTTATATCAAATCCATTAATTGATTTTCAAAATGAAAATTTATTAACAACAATGGATACAAAAGTACAACAATTAAATGATATTAATATTACAAGAAAAGTTATTATATTTACACGAACATCATCTTATATAATTGGTCTCAATGAACAATCAAACTATGAACTATTTACTGGATTAAATTATAATGAATATACCGACAATAGTGAAAATATTGATATACTCAATCTGGTGAGTATGAAACTGAGAGTCTAAGTTTTTGTGGACTCGATCGAATCTAGATCCTACAGTTTTTCTGCCAATATCTGGCACCTTCTGTGTATATGAACAAGTGAAGGATCAAGATTTTAGTTATTTTATTGGCTACCCAGAAAAAAAGACAACGTACATTTATTTTTTGTTATTCATTTTTCTATGTAGGGAACTGCGGGTCCACGAAAAATGATCTTGGACCAGACAAAAAGTAAAATTTTGGATCCGAACCCGCAGCTCCCTACTGGTGAGCTATTGTATCAGAGCTCTTTTTTTCTCAAGCTAAGCCTAGTGTTCTGGGCGGGTATGATTTTTTGCACTTGAACTGGAGCTAATCGACATCCGGCGGATACTTTTAAAGCAGGCCTCGAAATCCCACCACTTTTTTATGACCCGGCCTGGACACAAAAGAAACTTCTTTTACAAAGATTTCTTTCTCAATAGACAGCTATTCCATATTTTTCGGCTTTTATAAAAAATGATAACCAACAGGGGATAGCGTGGAGAAGCTTCCGCCTATTCCCCCTCATGGGTGAGCCAAATCTCAGAAAAAGTTGTGTCAAAAAAGGATAAAATTGTTGGACCGGGCGGAAACAGCAACAAAAAGACGACAACATCTCAAATTCCACAAAAAAAGTAAATGACTTAAGATTCACTTGTTATCTTTCTGCTTCTGGAATCCGATCGATTTCGGTAGGTATGCATTTGGTTGTTGCTGATAATATTGGAATAGAATTCAGTCTTGATACCAAACATCATAATTCATTTTCTTCTCTATGTATTTAATTGTTCCGTCATATGATTCCTCATCATGTCCCGGTCACGAATATTCTGCGCAGAAAATTTTCGGGATAATCCTGACTGTCTTGCATGGGACGAGATTTTTCACGATTCGAGAGTGTCCTGCAGGGCTCTAGTAACAAAGCTTAATTCAAAACCCAGTCTTTATCATGCCCTTGTAAACAAAAAAAAGTCATTGGCTACAATAAAGCTTCTTCGAGAATTTCGGAATGCACGATCAGAAATTATGTCATTTATGAAAGATTAGACTTCAGACTATCTTCTCATTCATTTATCTCAATTTTCTTTTTGTTCACGAAAATTGACATTTTTTTTTGTTAAAAAATAACTATAAAAGATTTATTCTTTAGACGGTTATTGAAAATTCAATGGAACTTGAAGAAAAATTTCAAAATTTTGAAAAAGATGAGAAAAAAAAAGTTTTAATTGTTATAATCAATGCACGAATTATTCAACAACGTTTACATATTCCATACGTACGACAATTAATTGATAAAACAGAATATTCATGTAATATACTCAATAAAAAACAAGATAAATATTTTCTCATGTTAATACATTCACCAGCACAAGAACAATATCATCAATCATCATTTCCTTCGATTTTCTTACATAATTGGGATTTTTATTTTTTTGATAGTTGTGCACCAGGAAGTGCATTTCATCTTCAAAAAATGTTACAAATTCTATCATCATCTTCTGATCAACAACAACAACAAGAATCATTTGATAATACTTTATGTGATTTAAATATATTATTTGATGATTGTTTATGGGATTTTTGTTCACGAATTCAAATAGCTCTACAAGAATTACCAGAAGATATGTTTAAAAATAAATTAGCTTATGAATTTTATAAACGTCAAACAAATACAATACGACGTGTACAATGTTTAAAACAAATTCTTCAACAATCAAGACAATTACAAAATCGTATTGTAACTATTTATCATGATCATTTATCAAATAAAAAAGAATCATCAAAAAAAATTTATAATTTAATTTATCAAATATCAAAAGATATAATATGTGGTAAACGATTTGATGGTCTTGTTGAATCTATTCAATCACAAACACGTATTTCATTTACAAATTTTGTTTCAAATGTATTTAAATTTATTGTTAATGATTATGGTTTAGAAACTTTATTAACATTATCAAATATACAAAATGGATATGATTCAATGTTAGAATTAATTGATTATTCTTCATTTGCAATTGATGATAATAAAGATAATATTTCATCAACAAATCAAGGTATATTTCAACTTGTTTCTCATTATGCTTGTATTCCACAAACTCCACTCTATTATTTATTTCATCAACGAATCAAATCTTATGCTGAAGATATTAAACTAACACGAATTCTTAAACAAGCTGAACAAAAAGGTTTGTATTTTTATTCTTATTTACATACGTTAAGAAAAAAAATCTATATTTTTTTTTTGTTTCTATTTAGAAAAAGATGATATGCCTCGTCAACATTATTATGCAGTTCCATCAATAACTACAATGGATAATAATTATAATGATGAAAATGAAATGATTGAATATACATTCGAACAATTTCGATATGAATTAATAAAATTAATATTAAATGATAAAATTTTAACTGATATTATCAATGAACATATACTTAATTCTTATTCAAATGATCTTGTTCGAACTTTTTGTACAATTGTTGAGAAAAATTTCGATGAAAATCTTATTCAATGTCAAAAAACAATCGAATTTATTTCACATTGGTTATTACTTGTTGATGATAATGATCGACAATCTTTAGAAGAATCTCCAAATAAACATGTTTGGCTTCTTGCTCATGTTTATACATCATTTGAATATGATCAAAATGATCTTTTTTCTTTATATTCAGCTTGTCGAATAACAGATCGACTTGATTTAAAACAATCATTTTATGATAATTTATTACACGACAATCATGTAACACGTTCAGAAGTACGTGAAAAATTATTTAGATTTATGTTTGATAATTTATGGAAAAATCTTTGTGAATTTTGTTCAAATAATAATACAGGTGAAATATGGATGCATATTTATACATTTATTTCAAAATATTATCCATCAGATAAAGTTCTACAACGTACACAACTTATTGAAATTAAAGAACAAATTGAATTTATGAATTTAGCCTATCTTATTCTTATTAATGATAAAATTCCTCAAGCAAAAGAACTTGTATCAAATCTATTGAAAGATATACATCTTGTTCATATTAATAATAATTATTTAAATAGAAATCAAGGAAAATCACTCTATTTAAAATTATTATCAAAAATTATTGATTTTATTCAACAATATTTTGAAAATAAAAATATTAATAATTCAACATTAATGATCGATATACAACAATGGATAATTTCAATGTTAAAATCATCTACAGAATCATGTAAAGAAGAAATTGAAAATCTTTTTAAAGGTTTAAATCGATCAACTTATCAATTATCATTACCTATGAAACAACTTTTATTTGATAAATTAGCTAATTTATATATTGAATCTATACGACATAATAGAATAATATTTGATTATTGGGAACGTCTTATAATACTTTTACCATTAATTATCGAATGTTTAGAAGATGATAATCTTCAAGAAGATTATCAATTACCATATCATTCATCGATTATTATTATTGATAATCAACGACAACCATTAATTGATTTATTTTTTTTTCATCTTCAACGATATTTTAATGATGAAATGATTAAATGTGAATTAGTTAATAAAATTATGCAATCAAAATTATCAAATATGAGACTTAAACGTTCGAAAATAGCTATAGAAATCTTTAAAAAATTAAAAGATTATTTTCTATTACGATCAACTGCTTTATTATTATGTCAAACAGATATATCACCTGATGATCAACGAATAATTAGTCGTATTACATTAACAATTATCAATCAATATTTATCAATTGATCGAGAAACAATTCAACTTAATCAATATCTTCAAATCTTTCTCTCAACTATTATATCAAAACGATCATGGAATTTTCTTTTCAATTTATTAAAATCAGATCATATACAACGTCTTAATAATCAATGGGCAACAACATTATCTTGTCTATTAGGAATGAAACAAACAGTACAACATAATAAATATCTTCAATTATGTCATCAAATACAATTTACATTATCAATAAATAATATATCATCAATATTTCCAAAATTACATCAACCTTATGAACAACTCAAACATATTCTAAATAATTGTGTTAAAGAAAATATTGATGAACAACAATGGAAAAATCTATTAGATTGGATTGAATTAAAACGAAATATGAATCCATCTGATTTAAATTTAAAAGAAATTAAAGTAATTTTATTATTAAATATCTATTATGATTATTATTGTAATAATCAATTAGCATCTCTTCATACATTATTAGAATTTATTGAAAATACATTAGAACTATTACCAGAAGAATTAAGAGTATTTCGTGCTATTTTACAACCTGAACAATTTATAATTGGATATCCAAGAGTAAATGATAATGCCGAAAAAAATTTTCTTAATAATTTATTCACACTTAATTGTCAAGATGAAGATGAATTATGTATTCGTCATTCACTTGTTAATCTTATTGCTATGATTCTTATGGGTGGAAAACAATCTTTCTTATGGACATTTGCATTTCATCCATCGACATTGCAGAATACATTTGGTAAGTATTTATATATATATATATATTCTCTCATTAAATCTGAAGTTTTACTTTATAAAGAAAAAAAGAAATAACCTTTCTATTTATTTTTGATATTAGGTTTTGGATCGACAACACATCATATCATTCAAAATAATGGTGTACATTATGATTGTGGTTGTATTATAACACAAAATGGAGATTTAATGCAATTTGAAAGAACACATGTAAGTGAACTCAATGTACCAGCTGTTTATGTTGCTTATTTCTCAACATTTGGTGCTCTAGTAAGTTAATTATTCATAAGAAATATATATATATATCATTCAATTATCTATTATCATCTAGGCTTGGCATTTATTATTATTCAACGAATCTGTTCAAAATTTGTATGGTCCTATATTAGCAGCACATGCAATTGCTGATGATACAGCTGTATGTCGTCTTGCAGGTAATAATGATCGAACAAAAGTATGTCATTTTGTTCGTGCTCGATTATTATCAACATTTAATTTTCTATCAATTCGTTCGAATCAAGATGATGCATGTATTCTATTGAATCGTTGCTTAGAACAAATGGCATTTTTAACTATAAATCATCAACAAATAGAAAATTCTTGGATTAAACCTATTTTTCATACATTGAATGATGAATTAAAAGCTGAACAAGCATATCAAAATCAAGTTTTCTATTTTGTTCATGAAAAATTAGTAGAATATAAAACTTATATTAATCAATTAAATTTACAATCACAAATTCAAACAAATCTACAAGATTTTATAAATCAAATGCCAATTATTATTCAATTTTTACATTTTAAAACTGAATTACATAATCCTATTCATTCAAAATTACCAATTAAAATCTTACGACATATTCTTGATTCAATGGATTTTCTTAAGATTACAAAATGGATTTATAATCTTAGTCAATTTTATCTTCTTCTACATCAAACTTATACTCAATTGATTGAACAAGATGAATTTCATAAAATAACATTAGAAGAATTATATAATCGAGGTCAAAAACATTATAATGAACCACATCATTTTCAATATTATCATAGAAATAATAATTATTCATTGATTATTGATAAAGGAATTGAAGCTGTCAATGCTTATCATAGTTTTACCGATGGTCTTATTCGACCGGGTGCTTGTGATCAAACTCAACGTTTTACGAAAATTACACGTGAAACACCCATACACTATTTAGTTACAACAGCGAATTATGATGAAGGAGATATTGTTATGCGTATACTCAGGTATATTTTTTCACAATAGAGTCTCTTTATGTCTAGCGTGAATCAGAGCTACCGGACTAGCCTACTATGCCAGGCTGGTTTTGACTACCTTGCGATATAAGGTGCTGCCGAAGACAGTTTTGAGCATAGATGGAATCAGTATCGGTCTAAATTTTCCACTTTCCTAATCTATGATTGTATCCATATAAAAAACAATAAGTGGAACCAAGCCTAATCTCGCAACAATTTGCCAGTATGCGGCAAACTATCAATTTAGCTCAAAATAGTTCACTATGGAACGAGATTTCATTTTAAGGCTCGGTCTATTGTCGGTAGACCGATTCCATCTATGGTTCCGAGGGTGGCAGGACTTTCACCATTGGCGAATGTTCTATTGGCTAAAGTCTTATTACCAAAATTCCGAAACCACAGTTTCGATAGTCTGATATTTTTCCTACAACTATTACTGACTGTAGCCCTAAACAAGAAGACTAGCCTGACTCGAAGTTTTTCCCCTTATCACTTAAGCTTCCCGCACATATTGATTGGCCACAAATGCATTTTTATATATGTCAATCACGTAGTCAGTTTGCTATCGGACGGGTGATCCGAGACAAACAGCTGTTGATGATTTGTCCAAAGTCATTCTATGTCTGATGGCATTGAAGCTCGAACACAGTACTTTGTGAATATGTTTCAAACATGTTAACTACTTAGCAGGCCTCGAAATCGGGCCACTTTTTTATGGCTCGGCCCAAAGTGACCCAAACATTGCTTGGGCCCGCTCGGTTCGGCTCGAACCCGAAGAAAATTTCGTTTAAAAAGATTATTTTACTCAATGAAGAACTATTGCATATCTTTCATCTTTTAGAGAGAAAGGGACGACCGAGGGGGGGGGGGGGGGGGGTAGCGCGGGAACTTCCTCCCTATCTCTCCTCAGAGGTGAGTCAAATGTCAAAAAAGGATAAAATCGTCGAGGTGGGCGGTCCGACAGAAAAGGTGATCCGGCCCGGCCCAACAAAATATTTGGTTGGACCAGGTCGGATCCGGCTGGGTGACCGGTTTCGAGGCCTGCTACTTAGCCATAACGACGCGACCATCTTCAGACCAGAAGAACAGGAAAAAACCTTATCCAAATCAGTTGAGTAGAATTCGACTTATAGACATTTTTGTTTTCGGGATGCATCGATACAATCACTATACTCTCCATGAATGTATAAACATAGATTTTATTTTATTTATTCTAGTGTTTTGATTGATTATCACAATAATCTATTGAATTCATTGGAAAAAGAAATGAATAATAATGATAATAATAATGTGTTTGGAGCATTGAAGAATTTAGTTAATAATTTGACTTCAAAAGAAGTTTCAATTTTACAAATCGTACATGATAATACTGGTGTAATTACATTAACTGAAAATGATTGTTTATCAATTGAACAATTATCTTGTGCAACTCTTATCAATGAAAATGATGAATATTTTCAAAGAATAGATACAAAATTTAACTTTGATTTTATCTATCTTCAATCATATATTATTCGTACATATCTTCTATTTTGTCATATTAATTATCGACATATTATTCAAAATTATCAATGTCATAAAAAACGAATACAAGGAATAGTTGATGGAGAAATTTTTGATCTTGATGAAAAATATTCAATTCAATTAACTCGTCAACAATTAGAAAATGATTGGAATCATTTAAAAGATATGTATTTAGATAAACTCTATCATAGTCATAATCTTCTACGACAAATAACAATTATTTTAAAAAATTATCAAGATGATTTATCTCAAATAAATCTTTATGAATTTATTCAATCATTAGGTGATGATAATAATCTATATGAACAAATTCAACAATATGAAATAAAAGATTTTCAATTATGTTATATTGATCATATTCGACAATTATATGCTAATTCAATAAGTGGTTTTCAACATTTATTTACTGATGTATCTCAATTACTTCGTATTTCAATTGATAATCAATTAGATTATGAACTTAATCAAATGTTAACAGGAGCAATAATTAGTATTGATTATAATGATAATATTGATAAAATAAAATTAACAATACAAATGATAACTGATTTATTAAATGATTTAAGATTAATTGAAAATTTTCTATTACAACAATCAAATCATTCATTAAAAGAAACATGTGATATTTTAAATATTGAAAATTCTATTCTTAGTTTTATACCAAATGAAATAAAATGTGAAAATTATGTTGCTGTTAGTATTCATTTAATACGTATGAGAACAATACTTCAAGAACAAATTGTTAATATTGAAGAAAAACAAACTAAACAATGGAATGAAAATTTTAATATTAAATCATCTTTCGAAGAAGAACAACAACAACAAAAACAAGTTAATCGTTTTCTTGATTTTCTTAATGAACAATCATCAATATCAAACGAAACATCACAAAATATAAATGATTCAAATGATAATGATATTTGGCCAGAAATTCTTCATGATATAACTAATTATTCGAACACAGATAATTTACTTGATCGTGAAGATTTTCCTCGACAATTACAACATTCAACAATCGAAGAACATGTAGAATACTCATCTCTATTTGAATTACATATAAAATTTGTTTCGTTAACATTATCAACTTTATTCGAACAGATTCATAAACAATGTCAAGAACAACAAACACAAATGATACCCTTGAGTAAAGCACAAAAATTTATCATCACTCATCCAGATGGTAAAGCACATATTTATTTATGGAAAAGTGAAAATTTATTTGAAAAATTACGTCATCTTTTTGACAAAGAAAAATATGATATTAATAGATTTGTTATCGTTGATAAAAATGAAATTTTGATCGATTTTACAAATAGAAATGCTCAATTACCATATGAAATATCTCTAGAATATTTTATTATTGAAAAGACTTTATTATATTCAATTCAATTCAATTTTCAAAGAAAATTATTTGAATATTTCGCTACATTAAAAAGTAATATCTCTATAGTTATTGATCGTTTTATCAGAGATAATAACATTAAACTCTTATCAAACAATATTTATCTCTGTTTCTTCGATGAACATGGAAAAAGTATCGATAATGGAACTATCGCTGACTTAAGTAGTCAAATAAATCATCTTGACAATAAAACAATATCAATTACAGTTACAGAAGAAGATAATCAAACGAGTATGCTGTGTGAAGTCACTTTACGATCTAAACAAAGTAAGTATATGATTAGATGTTTTTTCAGTAGTTTCCTCGAAAACTTAATTAAATACTAATATAGGAGATATTGGGTTCGGATGTGGTCGTGTATGCCCATGTTTTCCCGGTATCCATACTAACGAGGGAAGTCCATCAATTATCTCCAATCGCCTTTGAGACAAGATTATGTAGACCTAAGTCAACTATGAATAGCATAAAAAGAGTTTATACTCTTGGCTTATTGCTGCGAAAATACTGCACTTTTACGATGATTTTTCAATAAATGTCGTAGTTTCTAGAGCCCGTCGAGTTCGATCCGGACCCGATGGGGCTCTATTGGACTTCCGCAGGAACACTAGAAAAACTGATTTTTGAATTTCAACTCGAAACTTTGTAAAAAGACAGGTCTTAACGAAAACAATTCATTATAAAAGTCTCTCTATTCTGAAATAAAAACGTCAAATCTGCTGTTTTATATGACTGAAGGCATGAATTCTTTTCAGGATATTCATATTTAGCGCTAATCGAAAGTTCTGATAATATTAAATAAAAATCTAAAAAGAACGAAATATCTTTTAGTTTTATTTTATTAAATGTTCAAAATAATCATTATTATTATTTTATACGAAGTTTCATCCTTTCTAATAGTCAAACTCTTTTTCTGGAATATTCTTAACTATTGTGGAAACCTTCTGAGCTTGCAATTCTTCGTTGGTTTGATCAGTTAAATTGTTTTTTGATCTAATCATTTAGTCAAAAGTTACATAGTGGTAGATCTGATTAATGTGATATTATTTCAATACCTTCTTGTGTTAAATAATTAATAACATCCGAATAGTTATAAGGACGAGTTTTATCATGAAGTAATTTGATACTTCAGTATTATAGATGAGATATTCTACTATATATTTTATAACATTTTAAGGTTCCCCTCAAAACAGTCGCTTTTCGCCAGAATCATCGAAATTGAGATAAATTTATACCGTCATCTGCTCTTTCATACGTGGCAAAAATTTTGAAAGATTTTCGTCACCTCCTATTCGTAAAACAAAAATCCGAAAATCATTTTTCGTTTTTCTCAGAACGTTGGTTCAACGACGTAACACCAGTAGAACTCTATCATAGTAAAAGATAAAGTCAAACATTGTTTTTTCTTCGTTTGAAAGCTTATGTCTAGGGCTAGTTCTTCTCGTGATCCTAAAGCCTTTTTATTTTCATATAAAAAAACACCTCTATAAAAACAACGCCATTAAACTTGTCATCTCTTTTCGTCGCTTAAAAAAGGACCATGAGAGAGACTAGCCCTAGACACAAGTTTTCAAACAAAAAAAAATTAAATGTATAAAATGAAGGCTCACAGAGAAATCTTGGCGCTACGATAGAGCTGAAAATTTTGTCATAGCCATCGCTCACCAACCCCAACATATCCTGGAAGTTTCTTGCAATTTGGATGTTCCTGAACTGACGAGGGAAGGTCACCAACTGTTCAATCGCTTTTGAGTCGGAACTATGTGCATCATGTAGGTCCTAATGAGCTATGAATACCCTGAAAAGTGTTCGGGCTGCTAGCTTATTATTGCCGAGATAGTGGATTTTTGTGGTATTTTTAATCAATCACAGTGCTGTGATTCCCCTCAGGAACCAGAAAAACTGAGTTTCGAGTTTTGACTTGAAACTTTCCACAGAAACAGGCCTCATCGAGAGTAGTTTATTATGAAAGTTTCAGATCTTTTGGTTGTTCTTATCCTACGATACAGTTAAAAAGGGTGTTTTTACACTGCTCGTATACTCCCTAACAGGTTCTAATATTCTTATTTCAGAATAGAAGCAACCAAAAGGTCTGAAATTTTCATAATGAGCTACTCTCATGGAGATCTGTTTCTGTGTCAAATTTCAAGTCGAAATTCAAAGCTCAGTTTTGCTGGTGCTTCTGAGGAGGACCACGGCATTCTGCTTAACAATATCGTCAAAATGCAGTATCTTGATAGTAATAAGCTAGCGGTTCGAACTATTTTCAGGATATTCATAGCTCATTAGAACCTACATGATGCACATAGTTCCGACTCAAAAGCAATTGAACAGTTGGTGACCTTTCCTCGTGAGATCAATTTTTGACGGAGTCTTAAACACTGTGATCAGAACTTTTGGTCAGCCCTAAGTAGTTCATTTAAGTCTGCATAATGCACACTGTCTCAATTCAAAAGCGATTGGACAGTTCGTGAACTTCTCTTGTAAATACAATGTCCTGTACTATCTCTTATGCTAGTGATTAATTGAGTTTCTGAGGATACATCTTTTAAATTTTATTCTTTAACTTACTCTTATTTCTGTGTATAGATGGAGAACAAATAAGTTTATTTCATCCGACAACAAAATGGCAGCAAGTTAACCAATGGTTAAAACATTTTATTCAATTGATTGATTCTTCTGTTAATGAATTTGCTTTTTTTGATAAAGAACAAAATATAATTATCGACGAAAATCAATCAATATCTTCAACAATAGAGCAAACAAAATCGACAATTATCGATGGAATTAGTCGAGATACTACAACAAATGTAATTTTTTCCTATGAAAATAATAGTGTATTAGTACATGCACTAAAATCAATGAGAATTTGTCATGTATTAAACAATGAACGTCTTTTAAGAGAATTACATCTTATTGATATATCTCCAAATGATTGTGTTCTTGTCTTAGGAGAAATGAATGAACGAATTTTATCTCAAGATGATATTCGACAATCTATTGGAAATCATGTAAATATTAATAATGAACCGATTCATTTTCGAATATCAATTTCAATTCAAATAATGAAATATGATAATCAAGAACCATTACAAATACTCTTATCAAATAGAAATATAACTATTGAAGATATTTTTCAATTAATAAAGACTTCAATCGATATTTATAAATATTTAGCTTCGAATTATTCTAAGAAAATTCTTGATTATAATGAAAAACTTTCAAATTTAATTGATACAAAATTTATTCTAGTCAAAGAAGATGAAACATGTCTTATATCAATTGAAAAATCAAAAAATAGTCAATTAATTGATATTGATGATGATGGAAAAAATGATATTCATCAACGATTTACTATTTTTGCTACAATTGGTGATATTTATAGAGAAAATCAAATTGATATTGATCATCAAAATCTTTTATATGACAAAGATTTTGTTCCATCAACAGAAATTCAATTGATTTGTTTTTCATCAATATCATCTATTATTCGATTTAATTTGATTGATGGTAATTTACCAGTTACAGTAATTATTATAAATAATCAAAATAATAAATCAATCAAATTTCATTGTTCATTAATGATGACAGTTAAACGTTTATTTTTTATTGCTTGTCAATTATTTGGTTTAAATAATAATAATTATTATCGATTGATGCATATCGATTGTTTACTCGATGATGATGAAGTTTCTTTAGATGATATTGATTCAACAATGAATCAAATTCAATTTCAATTAATTTCAATAGCATCAATAAATAGTTCAATTAGATATGATGATCAAACAATTGTCTTACCTTGTTCTGATAATACTTTAGCAGCAACAATTATCGAAGAAACATTAAAACAATTACATATTCCACAAGAAAATCATCATATTTATGAATTGATTGCTTTAGCTGATGATCGAACAACAATTGAATCGGATATGTCTATTGAAGATGTTTATCAATTATTTCCTTCTCATCCGACAACAATACCATTTGAATTAATAAAGAAAAATGAATAGAAACTGTGTATAGTTCCTTTTTGTAACTAGGTTTTTGTTTACTTCAGCTTTTACTTTTTTTTTAAACAAGGTAATAAAACTTATCTAATAACCATTTACTACCATGATTAAAATACAAGAATCTACTACACAGTTAAAAATTTGAACCCACCGTTCACAGACTGTGACAGATATTTTAATTAATTAACTAGTTAATATCTAATGGAACCCCATCATTAAAGCCCATCGGGTCTAAAAATTTTGAGTCGACTCTAGGAACCCGCTGACGACTGTGCAAGATGTTGTTAATATACAATCAAAGACCGAACATCAATAGCATGTTGTCATAAGATATGAAATACTTGCTGATGCCGGTTGTAGAGGAATAAGTAAAAGGATGATTTAGAAAGATGTCACAAAACAGATAGATTAAAACAACCTCTCTGTGAATATTAAGAGCAGCTACATCGTGTTTTACTTCTCAATCCCGCTAACAGCTTTTTTTTTTATAAAATATAAATGAAGATATATACGACACTATTGTAATGAGTACTAAAGATACTGAATAGAGATAACATTGATTTTGTTCATTAATATTCTATAAAAGTAAAGAACTCAAAAATAAAAATATTATATAACTTGAAACATATTTCTTCACCTTGTTCTGTTGAGCCCTTTAAAAATACAATAAGGAAATAGTTAACATATTGTAACGAGTCGTTATTGATATACGGTGTGCGATAGTCTCTAGTTAGCGTCTGTCATGTCCTGTAGAGAAGGAGGGGGTCCAGCCTGTCTAATGGAGTAGAAGATGCGATTTTCTACTCTATATATTCTCACACTCCTTTTAGATCCTGTTTCACAAAAGAGGTGGATCAGTAATGGTTAAACTTGCTTTATTAGTACAATAATCGAATTTTCATTTTCTTTTTTTCTACTGATAAAATCTGCATCTTTTATTTACTGGTACTCATATATAAAAGACTAACCATTTTATTATACAAATAATGCAGGAGAAGTATCAATATATGGACAAGATGGCTTTTTTTTGTTTTTGATAGGAATCAAAACGAAGACAAACATTTATTCACTGGAAACAATATCTTTTATGATCGTGTGAAACTTGTGTCGAATATCATATTGATTGGTTTCGTTCATGTCTAGAAGTATATATTTTTGTGAACAGTTCAACATTGTAGAATCATTAATTTAATTGAATATAATCGCTCAATTATTCTTTCATTGGTTTGCTGCACTGTATCCTATCTTTATGGATTTACAATGTGAGAGTCTTAATCAGATCTACAAAACCTCATTTAAATGTGCCTATCAATGTCCTTGCTGGAAAGATGTGTGTGTTTTTCTCATCGATTGATGGGAAACGATCTATGTTATAGATATTAAACGAAACACCGTGAAATTCTCACAAAATCATGAAAGAATTATTTACTTTTAAAACTACTTTCCCCCCAATGCAGATAAGTTTCAATAGAACGAACAAAAGTCAAGAATTCATTGAATACTAATGTTGATATCTTGGATTTAACGAAAAGATGAATGTTACGTAGATGAAGTTGACAGTCGTTTCGAGTATTTCCACCGGTGATTCGTTCAGGAACTTGTTCCAAGTACAACTCAACGAGCTCTATCCAATGATATGCTAAGATTTTTGATAGACCATAATATGATTTTTCAGCTGATAGATGGCACTAGTGAGAATCTGAAAATCATACTATGATCTATCCAAAATTTTGAGTATACCATTGAATAGAGCTCATCAAGTTATACTTGGAACAGGTCTCTGGGCGTATCACCGGTGGAAATACTCGAATAGACTGCTAACTTCATCTACGTATGGATGTTATCATATGATACGAAAAACGCTGTGGTGGAACTGAATAAAAATGATCTCGAAAGCTTCCTACTTTTCCTGGAGAGTTTTTAGTCTAACAATAGCCGAATCCGTTGATCTATTTTTTTTAATTTTTTTGATGCTGCATCTTCCGTGTTTCTTCTGGATCATAGCAACTAGGAAGCTTACAGATAATTAGTGTCTATTATTAATAAACAATCGAAAGAGAGTTTTTCCTGAAAGAAAAAAAAACAACCGATATGATTATAGATATAATAATTATAAAATTAATCTCATTGATAAAAATCTTAGATTGATTTTCTATTGAACTTTTTTTCTATCGATGCCAAGTGTATTTATTTTTTTTTAAATTTAAATTCGTAAAATAACAAGAATAAAAATAAAATAAAATTCACGGTTCAAAATTATTTGAATCTAATGGATGAGCAAATTCATCATACTCATCATTAATAATTATAGTTGGATTTCTTCCCATTGATTGTGAATGACGATTATTACGATTATAATGATTAATACGATTATGATTTATTATCATAGGTTGTTGTTGATAACGATAAAATTCTTCATCAAAAAATTGACTTTCATCATCTTCTAAACCTGAATAATGTTCTTCATCTTGTTCATCTTCACCAAAATCAAATGCATTTTGACCTGGTCGTTTAATTTGTGCACTTGCTGGTGGTGATGGAGCTGATGGACGTTTTATTGGTGATATAATACGATCACCAGGTGATGTATATGTTGCTGCTCGACATGCTCCATTTGCAGTACATTGTGGTAAATCTTCATCAAGATCCATAACATTTGATATTGTAGGTAAATTATTATTACGTTTATTAAGTGCTGGTAAATGTCCTCGTTGTGTTGTTGTTGTTGTTGTTGTTGGAGCAAAATGATTAAAAATTTGTTTTTTTGATTCAGTTTGTTTAGGTGTAGTTAGAATTGTTTCTGTACGAAAAAATGTATTATTTATTGAAGTATTACTAGGTACAGTAATATCAGGTAATGGTGGATATTTTTTAATAGGTACATCAATAGAATCATGATCTGTATTATTTGGTATAATAAATGATTGTTCACGAACAATTTCACGAAAATCATCAATTGTTGAACGAATTGTAGGTATAGTTGCTGTTGTTGTTGTATTCGGATGATTTTGTTGAGATATTGAACCATTTGTCATTGTTAAACGTGGAGTATTATTAGTACTACTTGACATTGTCATATTGATATATCTAAAAAGCAAGTAAAATACAGATGATATTATATTTCCATCAGATATTTAGAAAATCAATAATAAAAAGTAAAGAAATATAAACAAAACTCTATGTTTGAAAATAGTTAATTTATTTCTCTTGTAAAAAGAATGATTGTCTATTGAACTTTTATTATTTCTTAAAGCTTTCGAAAATCGATCTGGGACTAGATTCATTCAAATGACATAAAATTTTCAGTAGGCTTTTATGCCATATACTTAATTCTTGTTTTTTTTTGGGGTGGGTAAAAAGTTCAATGTCACGGAAGCCTCACAAAAAATGGTGCTCTAATTATTATAGTAACAAAGCTTAATTTAACATAACGGACTCTTTCATACTCTACATCTTGACATGCTCTTTCAAACGAAAGAAAAGCAATTGGATACCTGCAGCTCCCTTGACAATTCTGGGATGTGTGATCAAAAAAGTGTAATTAGAGAAAAAATGAAAATGATATCCTGATTTTTCTGAAAACAACATATTTTTCAAGTAGATGATGACAGAAATCATCAAAAAAAGAAAAATGTCAAATAAAAACTCACATTATTTATGAAAGATCACGCCTCGGGCTATTCTCATATGTATTTATTTTAATTTCTATTATTCTGACAAAAATTGACTTTTTCCTAAGGCAAGGGGGTGCTTAACTCATATTTTATAACTCTTATATAAAAAAAAAAATTGTATATTGTCTTAAGGTAAAAAATTTCAAGACTCAAGATGTTTTTGATCTACATTCAACATTATTATAATCATTAAAAATTACTTATTATTTTTCTCTTCTTTTAAATAATAAATTATACTATATTAATTAATTATGATAATGAAATAATTAAATATAAAATCATTAATATTTAGCTATATTATTTACCTCAGAATTTTATGTGTAAATTTTTTTCAGTGCAAAAAATATTTCATCAATAAATAAAATATGTTTGTATGCACACACATTCACTCGTCTATCGACTACAAAACAAAAGAAAAAACGATGATGATGATGATGTGAATTGAGTTTCTTTTTCTTTTTCTTTTCTTTCGTTAGTGAATTTATTTTTACATATACTATTCTTTGAAGACAACCAGAAAAAGTAAAAAAAAAAAAAAAGAAAGAATAAGAAAATAAGGTTACTAAAACAACAATGAAAACATAAGCAAAAGACAGAAATATTCCAATAAAACAGAAAATTCTTTCGTATAGTTTTTTGTTTTTAATTTAAATTAATTGAAATTCAAGTTATGTTTTTCTTCTACGATGAGTATTTTTCTTATACAAAATAATAACATATATAAGTATGGTAAAATATGAATTATTTTTCATATAATTCAAAGTAACATTCATTTAAAGCTATATAAATTTATTTAGACATAAATTGATGACTAAAAAGTATGTTATATAATCAGTTCTTATGTAAATATTTGATTTCCAAAAGTTTTGATTAGAAAAATTGTAAACATTATTTGTTTAAATACATTTATTGGATGTCCTCAGAGAAAATAGGTCATTATATCTCTTTTAATTTTCTATAAAAACGATATGCTTTTTTTTTGTAAATCTAAATAACAACGATTATTTTTCAAAACAAGATAAAAACTTTTGTAAAATAACTTTTTGCCAAATTTTTTATGATTTGATGTTTTAGCTTATCAATAAGAGTATCTTTCGATGATACTTTTACTAATTCAGTATAATAACCAAAATCATATAAAATTAAATGATCTAATTAATTAAAATATGAATTATTCAATGGACAATATTTCTTGTTGATGAAAAGAAGAAAAGTTGTTCTGACATCGTTATTGTGTTAATTGAGTAATATGAGTAGAGAACTGAGGGACTACCTTTTTTTGTTTTGGTCCTGGTCCTGGTTAAAATTTTTTATTGCTTCTAGTCCTGATTAATTTTGAGAAATTAATAGTATGAGCAAAGTTTTATATGCATACAATTCCTACATACATATAAAATCTAAACGAGTGGTCTTTAATCGGTGTTTCTTCAAAAGTCACTCTGATAATATCAAAATTTAGGATCTGTAGAACGATGGATACTATTTTTAGTAGGAAACTTCAAGATGGTTCCGGTTTCAGTTCAGAATCGAAACAAATGATTATACAGATTTATACTTTTATCACAACCATGAATAAAAAAGAGTCGATCCGTAGATTCTTAGTCAGAACAAAATAATAAGTATGATGGAACCACTTTACAGTTCCCTAAATATGAGATTTCGTATTATCCTGATGAAATCTTCAAACTATTTCGAAAGTTCTATATTCATATTTTATTAGTACTTGAACAACTTTATGTATTTATTCAACGTGATATAATTTTCCGTGCTCAAAAATTATCATCAATGTCAGATTGAAAATTTCATCAGGACAATGCGAAATCTCATATCATTTAATTAACACAATAATAATATCAGAACAATTGTTCCTTTTTTTCATCAACAAGGGAATATTGACTACTGAATAATTTGTAGTTAAATTCATTGGACTGTTCAATTTGAAATGATTTTGATTATTGTACTGAATGGAAAAGAGTAGCAGTGAAAGATACTGTTATTGAAAAAGTAAAACATAAAATCATACAGAATTTGACAGCAAAATTGTTTTACAAAAAAAGAAAATAATCCATGTTATTTGGATTTTCAGAAAATTTTTTAAAAATTCGTGGAAAAATTTCAGTCGTGCTTGCCGATCAATGCATCGGCTTAAATCTCTAAATGAGGCTGATCTATATGTATTAAAGTTGTACTACAGTCAGGCTAATGATTGTTTACTTCAATAGAGAAATTAAAATATTGTCTAACAATTTCTTTGAACGACCCATCGGACTAAACTATTATCAATAGTTTTATAGAATGGACTGTTATAGGCAATATCAATATCGACAAATGTATAAACAGTGTTAATCATAAGATTGAGATGAGTAAAAATGGCAGCAGTTGCTTCGTCCCACATTGGTAAATCTCTTGGATAGTATTTAGCAATGAGTTTTATATATGGATTAACTTTAGTAGTGATACTATCGATGTAGAATGGATTAAAAGCAGTCATCATCGCAGCTCAACTAACAAGAAGAATTGAAGAAAAATCAGCAGTAAGAACAATTGATGCAGTTTCCAGATCAAAAAGAATATAGTCTATTTTTAACTAGAAAATTTTCAGAATTTTGTAAGAAAATGTGTTTCACCAAGGTAAAACTGCAGAAAATACAAGTAGCGATAAGGAGTCAAACAGAAAATTGTTATTAAGAGAAAGTGCGCGGATGTGTGTCTTCAGTTCACTTATCCATATTCTTTGTTCTTTAGGATTTTCCTGACGAAGGGAACCATCACAATTGACACGCGCCATTTTAGCTCCTATTAAATCCACAGATCGATCCCTGTGATACTAGCAAAAGCCTTAAAGGGTTCGTCTCTATGGACCTTTGTTGTCAAATTATGATCGGTATATTGGATTTTTGATTTTTTCTACCTTCGTCAAGCTATTGAATTTACAGAAAATAGCCCTTTGCTACAGATATGTCACAAAAATCGAGGTTGTGGATGTAAACGTTCTCTTCATCCACACCCACACCCTTCAAGAAAACGTAATACATGTAATGTCATTTGATCTAACCAATGAGATCGAGTACTTCTATCTCAGCATCAAGTAAGAGTAAGACAGGAATAAATGATGTTGAACAACAGCAATCATTATCTACAATAACTTTACTGGATTGCGTTAAATTGAAAACTAAAATTATTAAAACCATTACATAACGTAACACATTCATTATAATATTCAATTGTATAAAACTCAATACTGACAGATGGATAAGTAAAACAAAAAGAAGGGGATTGTCACGTTTCCAATAGTGAATAGATGTTTTACAAAGATATAATAGAGATTGATCATTATTGCTTTATATTGCATCACTTGTACATCAGTGCTTCTTTTCTTTTCTGATCCTGTATTTATGTTTCTTCCTACTGAAATTATTCTCAATATGCCTCTTTCATTTTCTTATTTTGACTTTTTGAAGTTTATCAAGTCATTAATAATAAGACATATCACGTTTATTTCGTAGAGTAATTGTTTTTTGTTGGTAAATATACTGGTGTCAACGAAACAGTTATTGTTGTTGTAACAGAGAGAATACTAATAAAAGTTTAACATTGAGAATATCAAAGTACGTTTCAGTCGGACAACCTCTAGTCCTGAGGTCACTAGGATTGGGTGTTCGATGATTCAGAAAGCTTATTGGAACGTTTTTACTGAAATTTATCGGATTTTGGAGGAGAAGGTTGAAGATTTTTTTGAAAATTGATGAGCGAGAAAATGCTGAAACTTTGTGGAGGATAAACGAAAATTTCTTAAGATTAGGCAGCTAGGAAGACATTTGGCTCCAATAGAAAATTACACTTTTTCAAGATTTAAACATAGGAAAATATAGCCCATCTGATACTATAAAAATCATGTTTTTTTCACAGTATCGTCCGAACGACTAGTTCCATAAAATGAGCAATCCACTCACATCCAACCTCCAAATTTGACTAGAATGTTCTCCTATCTACAGTCTCTATTTTCTGTTAGCGCAAACACTGCTGGGTTATACAGTGAGCTTCCAAAAAAAAAACTTATATTTTTCAGTTTTTCTAGCTTTTAAATAATATCTAATCAATAAAAATAGTACATTCGGCATCAGCACATTAAAGTCCGTCTATTGATATATACAATATTTGAAAGAAAATGTTCTTTTAAAATAATTGAGGACAAGGATCCTTCTCATGTGTTTTTCATCGAAATGCTTTTTTGTGTCATATCCAATTATTTCTCAGTAAAGAAATCTGTTTCCAAGTACATGTCTACCTGCCGTACGAAAAATGTACATTATGAACGATAGATCTATTTTAATTTTTTCTTTTTTTGTTTTTATTTGAACAAAAAAGAAAAGATGACAATTAATCTGATAATCTAGAAAATTTTCTTTTTGATTCAGGAAAATCCATTCCTGTAGCAAATGCTGTAGATAAACCGAATAGAATAGAAGGTATTAAATATTCATATTTCCAAATTAATTTTAAAGAAATATTATCATTAAATGGAATCATACTTATAATAATTCCTATGAATACAAATAAAATTGATGTCCATTGATAGATTTTTAATTTATAATAAATAGGTGTTTGAATTTCACCACGATATTCTTCTTCAACAAATCGACTAAGTCCAATTAAAATAAAATAAAGACTAACTATTAAACATAATGAAACATTTGAATACCAAAGTCTCCATAAAAATAATCCAATAATAAGATTTGCTATCATTGAATAACCAGGTGTTATATGAATATAAGTATTTTTTAAATGTGAAATTGAACATACACGTGATTGTGGATTCTTAATTAATATTCCAATAAATTTATTCGTTGATCTACCATGACAACATCCTTGTATAATACAGCGTAAACGACCAAGACCTTGTATCCAAGGACTTACTAAAGCATATGCTGATAAAATTGAAATAATTGGAATAGTAAAAAGCCATGAAGCAATCATTGATCCAATTATACCACCAGCAATACAACCAAAATAACCAAATGGTCGAGATAATCCAGATGATTTTTCAATAAATTGTGCCCATATTGCTGAACCAAGTATAGATAAAGAACTTGCTAGTATTATAGTATATGTATGTCCAACAAGTGAACAAAGAATAAAAACACCTGTAGATGTACTTAGAAATATATAAAAACTATGATTAATAATACGTAATTTACCAATTCTATAAGCTGTCCATGAATTTGCTAAATTTTCAAAATAATTTCTTATATAAATCCATAATATTTCTCGTTTAATACAAATAATAAATAGTATAAAACCTGCTATAACATCTATTATACTATGCATCCCTGTAGTTATACAACTTATAGATATCAAAATTGATAAAATATAAAATACAAATTTATATTTTGGAAAACTCCAAGTATAATAATAACCTGATAAAAATGCCCAAGATACATGAAATGAGGGAAAAGCACCTGTAGGTCCATCAAAATCTCGTTCATGTAATAATATTTGCCCTAAAATTGTTGTTGGAATAAATTCTCTGGGTACAGCTACAAATGGTAAGATAATTTGTAAGTAAATTCCAATACTAATATTCATCAAACCAGCCAAAATAAAAGAACGAATTTGTTGTTTTGTTTGTAAAACTAACGGTAGAAGTGCCACATAAGGATAAGCAAGAAGATAAAATAATTCTGTCCATTCTATAATTGGTAAATTTGTTTCAAATGTTAAATAAGTTGATATTGAATTTAATGGAGTTCCTATAAATATAATAGTTTGATAAAATATTAACCATGGAATTAAAACTAAACAATAAACTGAAATAATATCTTTTAATTGACTTTTTATTTTTATATTTTCTGGCAAATTTAATAATAGATTCCATTTACAATCAGAAAATCGTTGTTTTAAATCATCATTTTCATAACCATATACAAGTGCAAGCCATGATAATGTAAGAATTGGTGAAATTAACCAACATCCACTTTTTGATTGAAAATATATTGATATACCAAAACTGAATAATGAAGATCCAATATAAATTGGATGTGAAAATATTTTATATAGACCTGTTGTTACTAATTTTGGTGGTGGATATGCATTCATTGGAAGTCCATGACCTTTAATCCATAATTCTAACATAGCAGAAAACATAAAAATTATTCCAAATAAAATAAATAATATAGGAATAATAGAATTTTTTGGAATTGGAAGAAGAATATAATTTTCTGTTTGTTTTGACCAAAATATGAATATTAAAGGAAGTAAAATTATAAATAATGAACCATAAAATATTTTTCCAAAAGAAAAATTTATTTTTGGTTTACAATCAACATTTTCATGTATAGACCAACCATTTTCAATTAAATAATTATTTTCATATAATTCACACCAAGTTTGCCATTTACATTCTTTCATATTAAAAAATCCTAATGGAAAAATTTTTTTAATCCATAAAAATTTATCAAATACAGTTTTAATTAAAGGTCCATTACGTAAAATATATTTTTTAGATAATATTAAACGATAATGTCCAAATTCTACAATATCATCATTAATAATTCCATCAATATATTTTATTCCATTATGATAAACTAAAAATTTTTCTTCATCACCTTCCCAACGAATCCAAACAATATATTGATTTTTACATAGAAATCTTCCCCATCGTAAAATACTAATTGGCATTTGCCAAGGTTTTAAAGTTAATGTTAATTTTTCTACATATCCAAATCCTTTATTTATCTTTTCATTAATTTTTATTTCTCCCCATGCACTTGGCATAAAACATTCCCATAGAATATATCCATCTTGATTTTCAAATAATTTTTCAATAATTAATTCACTTTTTGATTTCCATTGTCCAGATATTTGTATAGAATTAATATGAAAAGATTTATTTTCTAATATTGGTAAATTATAATTTGAAAATCTTGCTTGTGATATTAAATGATATTTATCAAGAAATTGTAAAATATTTGTAAAGCTAAGTTTCAAAAAATTCCATTCAAGTTCTCCGAGATAAATAATTGTTACATCATTAGTTTTTTCATCAATTATATCAGCATACCATTTGTATATATAAAAATTTGTTCCTGTGGTCATATTAATAAGAATCTTAAAATAAAATTATTTCTTTTGAATAATAATAATAAAAAGAATTGAATCAGTATGAATCATAGGATGAAATGAATTCATGTTAACATTATACAGCATTAAATACTGTGACGAATTATAAGAATGACTGCCTATGTCTTTCGGCACAATAGTGTCTTGTGTCGTCTGCACTCTCCCAACTATCCCTTTCCTTTTATTGAATAGGCCTTATATATTAGGAAGAGCAGTCACGCATGATAGAACAAGAACTGAGATAGAGGGTCAGTGCTAGGTGAACAGGTCACGATACAGAGTGAGAAAACATATAATAGGCGAAGCATAACGGCCATCAACTATTACAAATACAATCACAGACGAAGAGATAATGATGATTTATTTGTGGAATTCAAACGATACATCTTTTGGTTAACAGATAAATTTACTACTACTATGCTAGAAAAAATTACCTAATCACTATTTAGAACTGAAATTGGACAATCCAATCGGTGATAGGGCGAGGAAATGGCTAAGCCTCCCCATGTAAAAATAAAAAGGCATTTAACGAAATTTCACGAAGAAAATTTCATGAACTTTCGTTATATTCTAAAAACTAGTGTGAACACATTAGATTTTTCATACGTTAAGAAGGTTAACAATATTTCTTGTGTTTTTTTATTTTTAACCAATCTTAACATGTTAAATATCGTCAAACTTAGTATTCATTTTCATAAATTTCTATATTTTTCACGAAACTTAACTGATTGATTCTCGTTAAATCTAGTAACTGTTTTCATGAGTGAAATATTTTAACGAGTTTTAATGAAAATTTTAATTTTTAATGAACGTCATTTAATTATCCATCATTCAATCTACTAATTGTTTTCATGCGTACAATATTCATCATTTTTTATGCAACATATTTGTTTATGTACATTACACAAAAATCATCTTGAAAGACTTTGGTTTACGAAATATCAAATGTCTCTGTAAACTATATCAATTCAAATATCAAAAGCTTTTTATCAGATTAAGCAGAACTCTCCTTTAGAGAAATCTCAACTTTGTATTAATCGTTAGCAAAACCACTTGAATTAATCCTAGACAAAGATAATCCTCTTGCATTTTCTCTTTAAAATTACACTATGGATTTTATATGTAAAGAAATGTAATTCTGTGCTTCGTACAGCATCATTTCTGCTCCATATGATAAAAAAAAAAGTTTAGCGAAATAATTGCTTCAGTTAAGGCTAAAAGTCGCCTTAAAAGGCAAATTAATAAAGTCTCACGAAGAAAATTTTCATGAATTTTTGTTAGATTTTCCACGTTTTTTTCACGTGTGATGGTCATTGTAATGGTAACTAACTCATATATCGTTAAATGCTGCATTCGTTTTCACACGTGTGATATTTTAACTTTCTCACTCAAGCTACATGCCACCTATATAAGTGTGTATTGATATAAATACCTCTTTTACACTATTGAGTTGAGTTGAGCTGAGTTAAGTTTTTCGTTTATAGAATCTAGATCTAATATGAAAAATATGGCTAGTTCATCTCTGTTAAATATGTAAGCTGATATACTAAGTTAAGAGGAAGGGGATAATTAAATTATATTAGTTCGTGTAATCTGTCTTTCCATAGTTCAAGCTAATGAATATATTACTCCTCAGAATTTTCCATACATTCTTATTCACCGCCAATATGATGAAATTTCTTCAATGATCAATATCTTGCTAAGTTTTACTCGTCTAACGAGAAAAATCCAGCTAATCAATTCAATATTAGATGTACTTTCTAATCATATGCTTAAGATAACATTATTATCACTAGAAATATTTGATAATTGATAGCGAAACAAATCAAACAGTACAATATTTGTTTTTACTTTGTCAATATCTCAGGTTTTAAACTAGTAATAGTCTTATCATTTCTGTCGACTATGAAATACATTTCTGGTACATACAAGAATGCAAAGTTGTAGCAAGTAAAGCAATAAATAGTTTTAATTTCGAGATATCGACAAACTAAAAACATATATTGCACTTCCTTGTTGATTTTTCTACCTATTACGAAATATTTATAGTAATAATAATGCTTTCTGAAGTATCTTATTAGAAAGTACATTCAATATTGAATTAATTAGCTGGGCTTTTCTCTTCAGACGAGTGAAACTAAGTAAGATATTGATTATAGAAGGAAGTTCATCATACATGCAGTAAATAAGAATGTATGAAAAATTCTGAGGGATAACATATTAATCAGCTTTGGTATTTAACGCGTTTCTCGATAAATTCACGTGTGAAGAATCATCAAAAATTTATTGATCTAACGAAAAGAAGATCGTTTGAATTTGAGAACGCGTTAATTTTGCGCACTTTCAACGCGTTTTCATGATCAAAATTGTAACATTCTTAATCGTTAAATTAGCAAAAATTTTTACATGGGCGATTCTATAAGTTTTTCTAGCCTCCGTCACTAAATTCAATGCTGACTGCATCTTAGAAAAAACTCAGCAGAGGATCACTGATATTTTTAATGAGAGGAAAACAGCAAATTTCAAGACTCCAACGTAACATTCAATGCGAAAGTAATGGAATAAATGTTGACTCCTGTGTTTCTTCAATATGGTCAATTTATTGGTCAAAAATACGCTGTAGGCGGGCAAGATTTTCGCAATTAGGGTACGAGCTAATATGTCGGGGCGGTTTTTAAGTTGTAGAGTACCCTTAGGACTAGATCCTCACAAAACCCGATTTTTGAAATTCACCTTGTTTGTTTTTTAAAAAATCTTTTCCAAAAAATTCTCGAATTCATGGCCAAAAAAATCGCTGATAAAAATTAAGTATGTAGATTTTTTACTTCACCAATAGAGAAATTCAAAAATCGGGCTCTGTAAGGATCTAGCCCTAACTCTCCTCTATACAATAAAAAAAAAATTATCACTTCTCTATTGAGTCGTTATTAAAAAAACCTTGTTCGCGTAAACGATGTGTTCGAAAAAAAAATTGATTTTGAGAAAAAGGCTAAATAAGTTTTAGAAATCGATTTTTGCGGAACACATCTGCAATATATATCAGTATTCAGAACAGGCTATAAATATATAATCTTAATCTTAAGTGTTAATAGTCTCGTAGTGAATAATATAGAAAAAAAACTTTACGAAATGCTGATGCAAAGAGAAAGCAGCCTAAAAACCCGAAAAAACTTGTAAAAAACAACCATGAAATTTTCTCCGAAAATATGATAGTAGAAGCCAAGTTTTAGACGATAAGTCCGTCAAAATCGATTCATTTTGCGATAAACCACAGCTATTCTGAAACAGGAGACTTTGGTGCATCTTCCTATGATAAAATCTTGGCTTCGACTGTTCTTCGAAAAATTGGATTTCTAAAGGAGGCCCCCTACAACAAATTCGCACTTTCTTGAGATTCAACAACAAGGGACGTAATGTTGATCTCTATATCTTTTTAATAAACATGTTCTGGAAGGAATATTTTTTCATCGGTCAATAGAAAATTTTCTCTTCGTTCGAACATTATATTGTTTATATTTGTCATACATTGCGAAATACTGGTGCAATAAATTTGTAATTTTTCTATAAATTTGTCAAAAAAAATAATGTAAAACAGCAGTTAATTCTGATTAATTGACGTGTTACATTATATTTTTGACAAGTTTATATAAAAATTACAAATTTATTGCACCAGTATTTCTCGTCTCATTCGATTTACAAATGTATGACAAATATAAATCATATATTGTTTGAATGAAGAGAAAGTTACCTATCGACTGATGAAAAAACATTTCTTTCAGAACGTGTTTATCGAAGAGATATAAGGATTCATATATTGTGTTGTAATTTATAGGAAAAGTGTGGACTCCTTTTTTGAGGGTGTTTTTGTTTGTTTTGGCAACACTTCGTTAATAGATATGCGATAAAAATAAGTTATACATCATTCGAAAGAGAAAAAAATTCTATCTTCTGGTAAAAAAAAAGCTTTGTTTCACCGCTCCTCGATTGAAGAGACATAGGAGTCGATATTTGTCTCAATGATTTTGCACTAGATATTACATTAAAAGTTATAGTTCAAAAGACTTCAATCTTCACTATTTCGCACTCAATTTCTTATAGAAAATAGTGAACATTGCACGAGCATCTTGATAAGTACTTTAACAATAATCTCAAATGTATTTATGCTAAGCATGTTTGCAGCAGGATAGCACGCAGAATATTTTTTTAAAACTGTAGCACTCAATAGTTCACTATTATGTGACCTATGTCACTAGCCACCTCTCCTTTTGTCATCGTTAATATTGAGATTAGCGGTATGAATTTATCTTTATAAAATAAAGATGAATTAATTAATGTGACTAGAGTTTTATACTAGACTTTCCAACGTTTCAACCTTAAGAATTTCGTAAATGATAAATCTTAAAATTTCATGAGATTTCCTACGATTGCCTTGCGGAACACAAACATTTATCGTACTGCTGAATAGCATATACTCAACGTTATATGCAAATCATGAAGATGAACAGTTTATGTTCTAACGGAAATAGTACTGAAGAAAAACCGTTGGAAGGTCTAGTATAATCGAGTTATCATTAAGTTCACTTTCAAAAAAGATTTACAGTCTCCTACCTTTTAATAATCACTAAAAAGCATTTACCATTACTTCCATGCGAATGAAAAATACTCGCACAATCCACAACCCGACAAGAAACGCCCATAGGTACGAAAGTTTGGGAAGCTTTTCATAATTCATTAAGTCTACTTATGGGCAAAATATTAACTGAAAAGGACGTAAATACCTGAAAATGTTCTTTCGTAAGCTACGATCATATTCGATCCGACTTGAACGCACATTGTCATATATGCAGACTATTTTCTGCGATGTAGAGTTATATAGGATCGTTTATGATCGTGCTTTTTCAATATGGATATATCTATGATCAACGAATAAGACATTCTATTATTTACACGATAAAATGATATCAAAAATTTACCAGTACATCTAAAAATACACATAAAATGTTCTTATTAAACAAGAAATATTTTTCTGTATATCTACTCCTCAAAAGCGAAAAGAAAACGTCAAAATACATAACCATTTAGTGTTCTTTTATTTTGTGACGGTAAATAAGCCGTTAGGTATCCTTCAACATCTCAAAGAGAAACACTGCTTTTATATTGTATGTACACAGCATACAAAGACATCAATGAATCATATAAAAAAATAGTTACATAGAATCATTCACGACAATTTTTCATTCTGTAAAATATTCGATCGTTAACTAATGTAAAAAAAAGTGATGCAAAAAATTGATTCTAAATTGATCAGAGTCATATACCTCTAAATTGATTATCAATTGATTATTAATTGATTACAAATTGATTATAATCGAAAAAAAACAATAAAAAATATCGAAATTTCATCGATTACAATAAATTTAAAACAAACAAAAGTGAATCAAAAATTGTACCGCTTATTGTCACACAAAATTGATTAAAAAATGATTTTTTTATACAATTCTAAATGAATTTTAAGTAAAAATAATCAGAGTAATCAATGAAATTTTGATATTTTTTATCATAAACGATTTTTTTGTGATATTTATATAAGTTTTTTATTAACCTAAGGACAGAACTACTTGTTGTTGAATCATACTGATGATTGTAGCTATCGATTAGAAAGATCGAGAAGAATATTTGAAAAAAAAGTCTTACAAAGTGAGAGAGAGAGAGGGAATGAAGGGATTCTTCACTTCAGGCACTACTGATCAAATTATTTTGCTTTAAACTTGTAAGCAACTTCAAATAGGAAGTATACCATTAGAGAAAAGATATAATAGTTTAAGACAAAACAATCAACCTAACTATCATAGAATTTAATGATTCATATTTTACTTTTCATCATTTTTGTACAAATATTTCCTTTACTATTCAAAATTGTACTAGAATGATTCACCGTTTGATGAATAAAATTAGAATCGTTCCTTAGGGAACTGTGGAAACACTATTTATCGGATCGAATTGTCGTTCTTGGAAGAATATATTGATCGATGATCGGCAATATGGTTTGGGCATATCTTCTATTTACAGCAACGATAAAGCATTGGCGAGTGTAAATGTCAATATCGCCAAAGATTTACTGCTACTCGTGTATGATGCGATCACGATTGTATTCGCCCTTACCGAAGCAGCTTTTGTCGATCTCGATGATATGACCTGGACCACCAATGTGAATGGGAATATTGATAAAGTATTGGACGCAGACATCCCGACAAAAGTTTTTCCAATCGACGATGGTGTTTGTGGATCTCATCTTTGACTCATGTATCAGTTTCACGATAGAATCCTCTTGTCGACACTAGTAGTACATTTTAGCGTAACGAAAAACATAGCCTAAAATTAAACACGATGAACATCAATTTTTAGAGAGAGAAGCCATTGTTACCATCAGCTGCAATCGACCCCTTCTCTAGTTTTCAGTAGTTGCATTTATTGCGATACTCACCGACGGCCATCAAAGCTTTGAGCAGAAGCTTGAGGTCCTATAGGAATTTGATAGTATCTCTTTCAGTTCTTGGCAATTCGTAGATTTTTCTTTGTGTTGGAGGTATCGAAGTCTTCAATTCGGAAGACGTCAACCATTTTAGGATTTATGATAGCGTCGTAATATTTCAGTTGAATTGTTTATTTTTGTGAAATTTTTTACAAGCCATATTCTTTTATACTTTACTGCGTTTTTCAGATGTGGTTTTCTAATTTCTATCCGTTTCCCATATCTATTTAATAAAAAATACTCGTATTTTTACATCAAAGTATCAATTCATATCATCTTTGAGAGATTATGAAGGGTGAGTTGTAAGTAAATAAGGGTGTGGGTATAGTTGATCTCTAAATCCACACCCACATCCCTATATGAACGTGAGCTCTACTATCGTTTTAATATTTAGTACACAGAAAAGAATTGCACATGAATTTATTTTGGCTGCTATTTCGAAATATAAAATGCAGTGCTAGACAAGTGGATAGCTTGCCATGGTGGCAATACCACATTGATTCTTCTTGTTACGACTCATCCAAATGTAACCTTCATTACCCCAAGACGTGCCCCACGAATTTTTGACAATATAATACTCTTGTGTGTCCGTGCTATCATAGCCGACAGCCAATACAGCATGGTGGAGACGAATTGGTGAACAGTGAGGTTCATCGTATACTCCTGATGAGTAGAAATGAAACGAACTTTGTGAATCATCAATGGATACTGAAATGGGTCCAACAGTAGCAATGGCTGCTTGCAGATCGGTCTCATTAAACATCCTGATTTGAACAAAGCCCTACATAGACAAAATAAATATCTTATGATATGTTTTCTCTGAAATGCTTACAGTATCAGTAGCACCAATATTTGTGGAATTGAAACGACAGCTGCCATTACGAGCTTCATACGGATAGCTCATCTCGGTGTCTATCCCATTGTTATACTTGATGTACAGAAATGCGAGTTCCATGACACCACCATTACATCCCATGTTTCCAAACTCGAAAGAACAGTCGATCAAATTTTGTTCTGAGAGGGATATGAGCGTTGATTTTTTGGCAAAGGTTTGACCTTCGAGTGATCCAGTAGTTGAGAAAGACCAGCATGAGCCACAATGCCCTTGGTCTTTTACGGGTGTAACATAGCCGTGTGTGCGCCAATCTATTTATTGTAGAGAAATACACGATAAATCCTCATTTCAACTAAGCATAACGTGAGAAAAAAAAACTTACCGATAGCGGCCCGCAAGACAAAGCTGGATGGTGCTGTGAATGTGTGACGATCGACCTTATCGTTCTCAGGTTTCAAATTCATCTTTAGTCCATTCATTCTTTTATTGATTTCTGCGTTTGTCTACATACATCGGCAAAAACAAATTATACTGATTGATTAGATAGAGACAAATACTGAAGACGTACCAAGTCGCCAAATTTGTTCATCTTCATGGTGTACGTATGCATACCCATATCAGCCTCAAGATTGTGCTTGCGAATCATAGCAAGATTTGTCTCCCAGATAACTCGACTATGTTAATACATATTATAAGTGTTACAGTGCATTACGATGACATATACCTAGATCCTCTCTATTCGCCTTTCCTTTCTTTGATCGCTCCTTTGTTCGTCTGATATCTTCTATGTTATCATCTCATTTCGATTACTTCTTTTCTTTGCTCTTGATTAATTTTGTATTCCTTTCTATTGTTTATCTTTGTTTTCATGTTCGTATATATGAGTGAAATCAGTTAGAACGGGACAAATTCGTTTTTTTTTGCGAAAGTTTTGTCTAGTTATAAACTGTAGTCTCCAGTTTATTAAAGAAACGATGTTTGTTTCTCGTTTCCGTAGTTGTAAAAACTAGAAAAACCTGTTTTACTAAAGTTGACGCTACATTACGAAAAAAACAGAAAAATTGTGTCAAAAACTTCACCCTAGTAATCAGATTTTCTAGAAATCTTAACGAAACGTAAAATAGTTTTTTTAGTGTGCTTGGCAAAAGAGCAGACTTTGAAGAATAGCAGTCCTAAGTTTCGCAGCAAATGGATGAACATCTGTACAGAGATGAGAGAATCAAAAACAGTCTATTCGTACTCTGTCACATCGCTAACGACAAGTAAACTCAAGTTTTTGAAAAGTTTAGGCATGCTTAGAAAAAACTTTGGAAAGAGATTCTGTAGCTCCCAGAATCGTCTAGAGAATATACCATTTTGTTTTCAAAACTGTTGCCCAGTTCGTAGTTTTTTAAATCAAAATGTATGTAGTGAAAATCGATGTCGCTTTTAAGTTTACATCACTAACGCTGGTATTTTAGTGATAACTCCTCTCAGTAAAGGTCTCTAGAGTAACTTAATATACATATGGCATAAAAAAATTAGTTCTAGTAAAGTTCATTATTCAATGATATATACATTTTGATTTTTCAAAGTCATGTTGCTGACGAATGATTTTGCCCATATACACTTGTTTTTTATAAAATAAAGAGAGAGAAGAAACACGTACATCTCGAATACATCATGAACACAAAGTATTCGTCGCTCTTCACAAGCACGAATGCTAACAATAACGATAGAAGAAATATCTTATCTTACCGAGCTGTTTCCTCTTCGACCGATATATATTGTTTATTGTGGACAAGTTTGAATACCATGCTTCATCCAATTGAACATCGAGCATTGGTTTACAATGCCCACTTATGAAGAGGATACACAGCGCAACAAATGTTCTCATTGTTTTATGTAGCTGTTTAGTGGACGAAAACTAACGAGTGACGGATATATATGGTGTCATTTTCGTTTTATCATGATATTTCTGATAAGAACGAGCATGTGACATCCTTCAACAATAATAACACAAATTCTTTTTGTATCTTGCACAATAAGAGAACGAGGACGAGCAAACTACCGTACTTTACCTTTGAAAGTAAAGGTGTAAGTTCATATAAGTTGATTCAAAGCAATCACAGGAGAAAAATAGAACCCTTCTGAACATGAGAGAAACCAACTTTGTTTATAACTTTGTCGAGAAAAGGCTGTTTAATTTTAGATTTTGAAAAGACAGAAATTATTCTCCTCGAATTTCCTTGACATCACATATAGGTGAGCAATATCCAAAGGGTGGGTGTGGGTGTGGGTGATTTAGGCATGCACCAAATCCAAATCCAGTCAAATCCAAACTCTAGATTTGACAGGATTTGACTAGGTTTGGGTTTGGGTTTAACTGGATTTGACTTGGATTTGAATTTGGGTTTGACTGGAATTGACTTAGATTTGACTAGATTTGACTGGAGTCTGGTAGGGCTTAAATAGATTTAATCTGGATTTGACTATATTGTATCCAGTTTTACCGAATTTGACCAGGACCTAACCAGTACTAGTACTAACTGGATTTGACTAAAATTTGACTAGATTTAGCGAGGTCTTTATTGAATTTTATAAGATTTGACCAGATTTGACTGAACTTCACAATATTTGACCAAGATTTGACCAGGATCCGGGTAGAATTACCTTGATTTTACTGAATTTTACTAGGATCCAGCTGTAATGCACCATATCTGACCCAGATTTGACCTGGATTTAACAGAGTTGAGTCGGAATTTATTGTACTAGGTGGGTAAAAATATTATTCCAGGGGGTAACGCTACGATTTCAAACAGAAGACATAATGAATTTTATATTAAATGAAAGCTCGTCAAAAGTGGAGTTTATTGATACTAAATAGTGAGGGTTATAAAAACTTTTTAATATCGAACTTAAGAAACTTTCAAAAATTTTATACTTTTTTTGGGGTGGGAAAGTAAGGTGCCAGTAATTGAAAAATCGAGTAAAATGTTCTTCTTGAATAGTTTTACATGGTTCGATAGAGCTCGTCGAGCTCTACAAAACTGTATATATTAAAAAATTTTTAAACAGGATTCTTGGGTTAAAATACACTGAAAACTGTCTAAAGAATGTACCAAAAAACTCGCATTTTCTACACTTTTTGTAGGAAAAAAAGTGGTCTTTTTTACATTCAATTCAGCTGCTTTCCATTAATAACCTTATGTAAGATGTTTGAAAATGTACTCATTCGATGCAGCGTGAAAAACTGCATCGAATGAGTATATTTCGAAACACCTGAGAGAGTAAAAATAATTAAAAAAAGTTAATTTTATTGAAACATCCAGTGTGTTTCTTCCATATCAAAAATATGAGTTTTTTAAACGTTTTTTAAGAGTTCCCAAACACTTTTTTGAATTTTTTATCGCAAGAAACTGACTTAAAATTTTTTTAATATATACAGTTTGGTAGAGCTCGACGAGCTTTATCGAACCATGTAAAAATATTCAAGAAAAACGTTTTACTCGATTTTTCAATTACTGGCACCTTACTTTCCCACCCAAAAAAGTATAAAATTTCTGAAAGTTTCTTAAGTTCGATATTAAAATGTTTTTATAACCCTCACTATTTAGTATCAATAAACCCCACTTTTAACGAGCTTTCATTTGATATAAAATTCATTATGTCTTCTATTTGGAATCGTAGCGTTACCCCCCTGGAATAATATTTTTACCCACCTAGTATTCGACCAGGTTTGATCTAGATTTGACCAGAACTTGACCTGGATTTGACAGAATTAGGGTGTGGGTGTAGATGTATGGGTGGGTGTGGGTGTGGATGTGTGAGTGCCGGTAGGGAACAAGAGATCAACACCCACACCCACACCCACACACCCACACCCACACCCACACACCCACACCCACACCCACACCCACACCCACACCCACACTCACACACCCACACCCACACCCACACCCACACACCCACACCCACACCCACACACCCACACCCACACCCACACACCCGCACTGACACTCACACCCACACTCACACACGCACACCCCACACCCACACCCACACCCTCATAACGGATATCTGCTGTTCGTATTAACGTCATCCACATGAAGATCAACGACATCCTTGTTAACAATAGTAGCATTTATGTGACTTGCTTGCTGCAGAATCTGAAAGAGAGCAGTATTGAGTTACCTTGCTATCCAGATAGAAACATACAATATATCATTTACACATGCTGGCATTTATATTGATTTATTTACCTATTCATGACGCTGATGCCATTTTTTTTACATGGGCACAAACGAGCCCAAAAGTTACAAGAATATGTGCCTAACAATTTTTCCAAATATTGACAAGAATATAACATGTTAATAAAATTGTCAATGCAACTTTCATAAAGCTATTGGAGCAGACGCTAGAGTAAAGAAATATGAAACACAGTGTAGCTGTTACAGGTATCACCAGGGAGAATACATCCTATTCCGCGATGTTGAACATTGCGGAATTACTGGCGCCCTGGAATCAGTTCCGTGCAATTCCGGGAACTCGAACTTCATTCAACAAATCGGACATATTCGACAAGGATCGTGTTTCCTCAATTCTCGGGATTCTGAGAACTGAGCCCGTTCTAAACTAGTTGTGGTTCCTAGGAATTCCGTCTGATTCCGTAGCGATCTCACTTCTGGAATTCTGGAATTTCGGGAATTGGTTCCGGTCCGAAACCAGTTCCTGAAATTCCGGAATTTCTAGGGGTTCCTGGGAGTTTCGTCAAATTTCGCTTCGACCTAATTCCCGGAATTCCGACACCAAATTACGTTCTGCCCTTACTCTCATGTTGAGCTGTATGGTTATAGATTAATCACTGAAATAAGTCAGTAATTCCGGGACGGAATCCCGAGAATTAGGCCGAAGGTATGGGTGTGGAGTGTGGAGTGTGGAGTGTGGGGTGTAGGATGTGGGTGCGTGTGACTGTGATTGTGGTTCCTTCTTACACCCACACCCAGACCCAGACCCCCACCCACACCCACACCCACACCCACACCCACACCCACACCCGCTCCCCACACTCTCAAATTCAGTTAAAG